GTAGGCCCTGGGCACACAACAGAGGGAAGAAAGCCATTCCTTAACATGTTTGCATTTCCACTTGCATCTACCATGGTCACGTATTCCTGTGTCATGGACGTATCTAGGAGCTGACAGTAAATCACCGGTAAGATATATGCGGTCAGAACTCACTGGCACCACAGTTTGCACTTATATTCCACAGGCGAAGACCAGTGATGGAGTCGTTCGAAGCAGCCAAGTTGGCATAGACGAGGGAGGAGTTGGCCATGTTCCAACCGTACTGTGTTTGACTCGGGTCAATGGGCCGGCAGCTGACATTGGCTGTTAACCCCTGCTGCCACATCGAATAATTTCTGCTGAAGCCTTGGGGAATGGACACGCTGGTGTGTTCTCCCGGTATTGGTCCTAAGTTGACTGTGACATTTCCGCCAGAAAAGCCGAGACAAGTGCCATTAGCACTTGGAATTCCATCTGAACCTGAATAATCCTCGATGGCAGGCACAATCCCCTCTAGGCACACGACACATCATCACAAAACAGCTTCAGGTGACGCAAGGACCTGAACCTACGAGTAGATACATTATATTTTGCGCCATTGAAATTAAACGTGCCAGGAAGACCATAGGTATACCCTGCAGCAGAGACTCCGCTTAGCATTCCGCTGATGTCAAGGATCTTGAAAGAATTGTCTTGGACTTTGGTTGTTCGTTTTAGAAAAAATGTACGAAACACTGGGAAAGCGGAAATACGCACTGGCAGTGAGACCCTGAATTTGAAATTCTTCGAAGAGCAAGGTGGAAAACGCAGTTCCAGTAATGTCAAGTTCGGATCCTCGCATCTCAACTGGCCATAGAAAGTAATTTGGGGTCAGGAGGGTCGTCCACCTGTATCGGCACTTAAATTAGACAACACAACAATAGTACGATGCTGTCAGTAATGAGTTACCCAGCTGTCAAAAGTCTCAGCACACCAAAGACGAACAGTGTCATGGTGGTCAGTCATAAGTGCTCAGGTCTCAATATGATGGAGCCCTTCGCCAAAGCGACACCGGCGCTTAGCTGAACCAGAGAGATGGGCCATGATATCCAATGTCTCAATGCCTCCTTGATTGAAAGGGTGAAAGCACTAGGGGAATGTTCATCCCTGTGTGAATGGAAAACTACAGGGAGTAAAAGGGTATACAGACGTAGCCGTAGTGACTGAAAGCACAGTTGCTATCAATGTGACTATCATGGTCAACTCTCCAGGGTAATGGCTCCATAAGTTGCTGACTTGATGAGGTAGAGAGAGGTAATCATAATAGAGAACGGTACCAAGAAATGCGTATCCAAATGCCAGGATAATAGCCTGGCTACTGATGATAGTGGTATGCAATAGCCTGAAGCGTGCGGACACAGGAGACATCGTAGAAGGAGTGTGGGTGGTGCAGAATCGATCCTGATAAAGATCGAACCAACAAATGCTTAAGGTAAAAAAAGAAGGGAATGGAAGTATGTGAGGATTGGGAGCTCGCATTTATTGAAGGCATTTTATATGATGGGTGTGCGTGAGATGTAAGTACGTACATTTGTGAAGCTCCCAGTATGTACATGTTAAAGTTATGTACCGGACAAATTCAGGGATTGGATTCAGAGCCTTGATCGATTCCGAAATGAGGTAAGTGACTCACTGATCCGAAGTACTTACATCACCCTGAAAACAATTTAAAGGTGCGTGCAACGCAACGTAAGAACGTAATGACAAGACCTCAACAATCTTGTTAACTGCAAATTTGCCTCACTTACCCTAGTAGGAACAGCGGCGTCTGAAGAAACAGGCTCTTCACCATGAACAAAGACAACTTTTCGGCGTTCGCCAATGACGATTTGTCAACACAAAAGGCACCAATGATCAAAATCTCCGTCAACTCAACCTACAACTCAAGTTGTTCATTACCCATCTCTTTGCTTACTCGCCATCCGTACTCTTCTAGCTATCCAGTCAAGTTTTATCAGTGCATGCGGCGTGCGCCCCCGGGCCCCTACCTCACCCAACTCCACTCGTCCATCACCTTCGCTGCCCTTGTCCTTCTCCGGTGATTGAAAGTACTCTTCTGGTGCCCACACCCTCGTATGGCTACCACCGTCGTTCTTTGCCAAAGTCTGTTTTCCCTCCCTCAAACTCATCCTACAACAATGCCAGACACCCTGTAACCAAGTCATCAATGTCTCCAGCCTCAACCGCATCTCCCCAGGTATGGAGAATTCAGATTTGTACTGCTCGTATCTCATCGGTATCGTCATCGGCAGGTATTTCAAAACATGAGCCTGTGCCGAATATCCAGGCATGTTGCACACAATCGCCAATGACACAACAGTCACAGGAGCATTTGTGGATACCATTGAAAGGGCAGAGTGTTCGCAGCAGAGGCGAGGTAGGTGCCATACACATATTATATCTCAGGAGCCGCAGGATAGCTTTTGCAGGAGTTTATACGGCAGAAATTAAACTCTCCACCCCATATTTCAAAATCTTTGTACTTTGTTTCAGATAGCACTGAGTTCGAGGAAGCAAAAGTACAGATGCCTTTCTGGATCGATGCAAAGAAAATTTCCGAGCGAGCTGCGACTGAGGATATCGAAGAGATGATGAAACAAGCGACACCCACTCGTCAGTGATGGCACCTCTCTCCAGAGGAATATATTCTGAGCAGCAGCGCACTGCTTTATTCCGGGAATGCACAATGGTTATTCTCAATGGTTGCACCATCACTCTTTGCCATGGTCAACCTACATTCTGTCAGGTGCAATTAGTCTTTGTTAATCGCCTGTTCTAGCACGGGTATGGGAATTTCACTTGCACTGCATAACAACTTAGCTCAGACCTGGCTGCTCTCAAGCTAACATGGTTCAACATCATATGATAAGCCAGATAATGTCTATGGAGAGAAGGTGAATCAATGACAAGATAATAACGATCGTTACCCTGTACGATGAATGCCTATTCAAAAGCATCATGCCTAGCTACTTACTAGTAGATATCGATCAGCTGATTTCCAACGAAAGATGTGCAGCACTGCATGCACCGATGCTACTGGGACCGAAGAAATACGCTCAGCATACATTTGATCATTGCAGGTCATGGCAATAGACACGAAGCACAGCGGACGGACAAGCTTGCTGGACATCATGGACTCCCAAACTAATTTGCACCTCAATCACCAAGAATTCCAGTCCATGTCATCTTCAGCATATTCACTGTAACGTTTCAGTAAGCCATGTCCTTCAACCACAAGGCTTCAGCCCATGATATGTTGCCACAATCTCAGAGGACGTGTAACATCGACGATGTTCAAGGTTTGGATGAATATAACATAGCTCTCACATTAGTAATTAGTCTATTCTTCCTTCAAAGCCTGAACAGCCGCCCAAAGTGATATTTCTTTGTTCGAATTGAGAACAGCTATCACACATTTTGAATCCATATATCAGCTGCATGCCAGGTGCGCGACGAGGGATACATTTCCCTTGATGTGAGAAGTTGCTGAGAGAACATGCAACATTTCGAAATCCGAGAGCAATAGCGCCCCAATCTTGACATCATTTCAAACTTCACAACAGAAGTCAAGAAGCAGCAACCAACCAACCAACCAATGAAGTTCTAGCATGCCACGTAAGTAGTCCTTCCGATCAGATGTCTGAACGTGAATGGGGGCGATAGCTTGGCATAATCGTCAGACTAGTCATGTACGGAAAATTCTGCACAACGTGCCATAAAGTAGGAGTGGCGGTAACGGGCAATTTGGAACGTCCAGCCAAATACCGATCATGAATTGCTCGTCGAATTTGAGAAACCAGACACGACGGATGTCACGTCATCAGGATTCAGGACGCTCTTGATCCGACAAGACCTGAAACGGGAAGCACGAGCAAAGGTGAAGTCAATGACAAAGCAGAATTGCAGCCATGAAAAGTTGAACGCAATAGTGACGAAGAGCTGAGTGGTCTATGGAGGCAGATGAATGAGAACGCTAACGATGACAAACGACCACATAAATACAAACACGTGGGTAACAGATCGAATGAGTGTAAAACAACAAGTAAATGAGCGTAGTGAGGAAGTTTGACAGAATCGGAATGAATGGGCAGCAGTACCACTGTTACGATCGGATAATAAGGATGGGTATAGGAGTAAGAAAAGACAACTGCCATGACACAATGGTACCTGAAATCATACAACCTACGCTTTCACAAGCATTTTCTGTGCACCATTGTCCTGTAGCCTCACCATCATGCCCTCGTTGGTGGCAATCCCATTATCGTCGAAATCTTCAAGTTTCAGACCCCCGGCAGCAGATGCCATAATGAGATAAAGAGGGTTCGACGCCTTGAAGGGCCTATTGCCAATGTTCTTTATCTGCAAAATACTATACAAAGCGCAGGCGACTGTGAGGATGGTGATGATGGTGATGGGAAGGATAGCGAGAAGATATGTCGCTGACCGCTGAGTCCAACCTATCGTTGATATGTACATTGTTCCATTGACTGGGGAGGAGAGGTCCTCCGGGATGGTGTTATCGGGGAAGCTACCCACAACCATAAACCCAGAGCAAAGGAACTGCCAAGCAATACTGAGTCGATCCCAATTGGACCTAAGGGATCGGAACACTCACCGTGGCAGAAAATTCAACAACGCCACACCAATACTCCTCCTAACGAAGGCATAAACTTAACGTGGGCAAAGACCTCACAACATAAACACTCACCAGTTCTTTGTAAACCTGCGCTTGATTTCCAAGATTGTCGTCGATAGATGTGTTAGTTGTCGAGGAATAGATGGAGTACAGAGTGTCTCCGATCGCGCTGCTCGCAAGCCCCTGCAAGTTGATCGACTGAAACTTGGCAACTCCAACAATGAATGACAGTAGTTGTTCATTCTCTGGTCGGAAAGGGGTGGATGAAATGACCTCGGAAGAAATGAGGTCACTGGAATAGTTGGTGTGGACTGTGGTCAACAGTGGAGTCACCTCGCACACGCTTGGATTGAGGAATCCATACTTGTAAAATCCTTGTGAAAGAATCGCTATAGGAACAGAATCAGTCAGGGACTACAAATGCATACTTCAATGGCTCACTAAAGCTTGTATAAGTTTGAGTCAGATCCATAGGCCCCGGGCACACAAGGGAAGGAAGAAAGCCAGTCCCTGACACACTCGCATTTCCACTTGCATCCACTATGGTCACATATTCCTGTGTCATGGGTGTATCTAGGAGCTGACAGTAAATCACCGGCAAGATACTATATGTGATCAAAACTCACTGGTACCGCAGTTTGCACTTATATTCCACAAGCAAAGACCAGTGATGGAGTTGTTCAGAGCAGCTGCATTGGCATATATAACGGAGGAGTTATCCATGTTCCAAACATACTGCACTTGACTCCCAATGGGCTGGCAGCTGACATCAGCTGTTAACCCCTGCTGCAACATCGAGTAGTTCCTGCTGAAACCTTGAGGAATAGACACGCTGGTGTGTTTTCCCGGTATCTGTTCTGTGTTGACTGTGACGTTTCCACCAGAAAAGCCAAGACGAGTGCCATTGACGCTCGGAACTCCATCCGAACCGGAAAAATTCTCAATGACAGGCACAATCCCCTCTAGGTACACAACATATCATTGTAAAATAGCTTCAAGCGATGTTAGAGTTTGAACTTACAAGTGGACACATTATATTTTGCACCATTGAAATTAAATGTGCCAGGAAGACCAAAGATATACCCTGCGGCAGAGACTCCACTTAACATTCCGCAGATGTCAAGAATCTCGAAAGAATTATCTTGGACTTTGGTTGTTTGTTTTAGATGAAAGAGATGAAACACTGGGAAAGTGGAGATACACACTGGTAGTAAGACCCTGCTTTTGAAATTCTTGGAAGAGCAAGGTGGAAAACGCGGATCCAGTAATGTCAAGTTCGGATCCTTGCATCTCAATTGGCCATAGGAAGTAGGTGGGTGTCAGGAGAGTCGTCCACCTATATCGGCACTTAGATTAGACAACATAGCAATAGTACAATGCTCTCAACAAACGAGTTACCCAGCTGTCAAAAGTCTCAGGACACCAAAGGCGAACAGCGTCATGGTGGTCAGCCGTAAGTGCTCAGGTCTCAATATGATGGAGCCCTTCGCCAAAGCGACACCGGCGCTTAGCTGAACGAGAGAGATGGGCTGTGATGATATCCGATGTCTCAATGCATCCTTGATTGAAACCGTAAAAAACCTAAGGGATTGTTCATCCCTTTGTGAGTGATAAGTTGGAGAGAGTAGAAAAGTATACAGACATAGCAGTAGTCACCGAAAGGACAGTTGCTATTAATGTGACTACCATGGTCAACTCTTGAGGGTAATGCTTCCATAAGTTGCCGACCCGATCAGGTGGAGGAAGGTAACCATAGTAGAGAACTGCGCCCAGAAATCCGTATCCAAATGCGAGGATGATAACCTGGGTACTGATGATAGTGGTATGCAATAGCCTGAAGCGTGTATGCACTGGAGGCATCGTAGAAGGAGTGTGGGTGTTTGGAAGGAGTGTGGATTGTGCAGAATTCGTTGACATCCTGGTAAAAATCGAACTGACAGTCAGAGCTGCTCAAGTTACAGAAGAAGGGTGAGGATGTGTTGAAAGCATCATCATTATATGATGGGGGGACCTATGCAAGTACTTACGTATGGGACACATCGTGTCATGAGCATAAACTTTGTGGTGGACAACCCGGTTAAGCTGAATCTAGCCACTTTCAAACCAGATTTTGTCTTGGCGCCATTTATTTTGGACAAACCAAAAGGGTGCCGATACCTTGGTCGGGTGCCTGTACAGTGGACACCGCCGCATGGACACTCCAGTGGCTGCCCCGTTGGTTTGTGCACAGTGAGTATTTGTTGTGATTTTAGCAAAACTGTACAATAAATGTGCGATATCAGTAGTCACGTCAGTGCGAGTTGAGTGCGAGCTGAGGAAGGTTGTCGGAAGCAGCAAACTCCTGAGTCCACATTCTGCCCGAAGTGGCATTATCGAGCATCTATCGATATGAAAGAACGTAGTACTATATAGTACGGTATTACAGCCTGTACAGTATATTGACCACACTTTCTGATCAACTCTTGTGAGCCAAAATATATATCTAGGGCCTAGTCACTAGGCACCCCAGATCTTCCAAATTTTCTTTCCTATCCGATCAGACTCATCATGTACACCATCCTGGCCTAGTGCGCACTCAAAATTAAAATAGACAGCATCTTTCTAGTAACATCATGGCCCATGACTTGTCTCGTCCTAGTCTAACAATTTTTTCATCAGTGAACTTAAAATCGATCACACGGGGCTGGGGGCCCCTTCAAAATTTTAAAAAACCATCGGTCATTGAGACATAGCCCGGAAGCTGTGCTCAGAATGTTCCAGCTGATGAATTGATGCCAAGTCGTTGATGTCCGAAAGTACCATTGCAAAGTTCACTGACACGAGCCATATTGTGTAGCAAGGGTTTACAACATCCAGGGCACGAAACATATTTATATCTATGTCAATCCTATTAATCAGCTTTAGTATCCAAGTCGCTGCGACAGCCTTGGCCAACTTTTGATATTACGGGCGCACCATCAATTCATGCAGCTTTTTTTTACAAGCCTCGGTTTATGATTTAATGACAGTTTCTCGAGCTCGTGCATCCCAGATTACTCATTGTTATGCATATAAACTGTCGTTTGGACTGGTTCTTGTTCCACTGACATAATAGAATGTGCCAAGAAGATAGAAAGATTTTGAACATCATAAGCATTGGATGGGAGAAAATGATATAGTGTTAGTCCACGAGAGATAGCCTAGAAGAGAGACAGGGAAAAAATAAAAGAAATAATGGGTCCTGGGTTGCCCGGAGAATTGGAATGAATAGGCGACAGCGCTACCGTTGCAATCAGACAGGAGTAAGAATGGATATATGAGTAAGAAAAGACGACTGTCATAGCGCAATGGTACCTAAAGTCATATGGGCTGAACTGTCCACAAGCATCTTCTGCGCACCATTGTCTTCTAGTTGCACCTTCACGCCCTCGTTGGCAAAGATCCCCTTCTTGTCAAAACCTTGGAGTCTCAGATCCCCAGAAGCGGATGCCATGATGAGATGGAGGGGGTTCAACGCATCAAAGGTGGTCCTATGGCTACCGTCCTTGTGACGAGCCTCCAAGATACTATACAAAGCGAAGGTAAATGTGAGGATGGTAATAATGGTGAGGGGAAGGATAGCGAAATCCATACTTGTAAAATCCTTGTGAAAGAATCGCTATAGGAACAGAATCGGTCAACGACTACAAATGCATACTTCAATGGCTCACTAAAGCTTGTATAAGTTTGAGTCAGATCCATAGGCCCCGGACACACAATGGAAGGAAGAAAGCCACTCCCTGACGCGCTCGCATTTCCACTTGCATCCACCATGGTCACATATTCCTGTGTCATGGGTGTATCTAGGAGCTGACAGTAAATCACCGGCAAGATATATGCAATCAGAACTCACTGGCACCGCAGTTTGCAGTTATATTCTACAGGCAAAGACCAGTGATGGAGTTGTTCAGAGCAGCTGCATTGGTATAGATAACGGAGGAGTTATCCGTGTTCCAAATGTACTGCGCTTGACTCCCAATGGGCTGGCAGCTGACATCGGCTGTTAACCCCTGCTGCAACATCGAATAGCTCCTGCTGAAGCCTCGAGGAATAGACATGCTGGTGTGTTTTCCCGGTATCTGTGCTGTGTTGACTGTGACGTTTCCACCAGAAAAGCCAAGACGAGTGCCGTCGACACTCGGAACTCCATCTGAGCCGGAATAATCCTCGATGATGGGCACAGTCCCCTCTAAGTACACAACACATCATCACAAAACAGCTTCAAGCGATGTTAGAGTCTGAACCTACGAGTGGATACATTATATTTTGTGCCATTGAAATTAAATGTGCCAGGAAGACCAAAGGTATTCCCTGCAGCAGAGACTCCACTTAGCATTCCGCCGATGTCGAGAACCTCAAAAGCATCGTCCCAGACTTGGGTTGTTCGCTTTAGAAGAAATGGACTAAACACTGGGCAAAGTAGAGATATGCACTGTCAGAAAAACCTTGCTTTTGAAGTTCGTAGGAGAGCAAGTTGGAAAAGGCGATTCCAGTAATATCAAGTTCGGATCCTTGCATCTCAATCGGCCATAGGAAGTAGGTTGGTGTCAAGAGAGTCGTCCACCTATATCGGCACTTAAATGAGACAACACAGCAATAGTACGATGGTCTCAGAAACGAGTTACCCAGCTGTCAAAAGTCTCAGCACACCAAAGACGAACAATGTCAGGATGGTCAGTGGCAAGTGCTCAGGTCTCAATATGATGGAGCCCTTCGCCAAAGCGACACCGGCGCTTAGCTCAACGAGAGAGATTGGCCGCGATATCCGGTGTCTCAATGCCTCCTTGATTGAAAATGTGAAAAGACTAGGGAATGTTCATCTCTATGTCAATGGAAAGCTAGAGAGAGCAAAAGAGTATACAGACGTAGCGGTAGTGACTGAAAGCACAGTTGCTATTAATGTGACTACCATGGTCAACTCTTGGGGGTGATGCTTCCATAAGTTGCCGACTCGATCAGGTGGAGAAAGGTAACCATAATAGAGAACTGCGCCAAGAAATCCATATCCAAATGCCAGGATAATAACCTGGGCACTGATGATAGCGGTGTAGCCGCTGTAGCGTAGACAGTTCATGGACAGACGGGACATCGCAGAAGTCAGGTTGGTGATACAGAATTGATCCTGCTAAAGATCAAACCGGCAAATCTGAATTGAAAGAGGGGAGGGGCACTCGAAGTGAGGACGTTGAAGCCATGATATATGATGCGGCTACATTAAACCGGATGGGCTGAGCTGAATCTAGGGTCTTTCTTTCCTTGTGAATGACATGAGGGTGTCCGTTTGCTTAAGCCTTAAGGTTTGAAGTAGTTTGCGGAAGGAACGTACTAGACTACTAGTGTCACCTCCCGAACCTTACATAATGTAGTTGACGGCATCAGACCCACCTTGTCCTAGCACAATCTAAACATTGGTTTGAGCGTCATTTTGCTAGATGGGGCAGATGGGACAGACGTGACCGGGCCAGACGGAGACAAAGCTTTCGAGCTTTCAGGTTCCCTGGGACGAAGGAACCGAGAAAGTTGCGAAATTCAGGGCAGTTAACAAAACGAACTTTTCAAAAATTTGGAGCCTTTTGACTTTGGCCTGAATTAGCTAGCTAGTGCTCGGCAACGCGGCAGCCCAACTTCTTTAGTTGTTATTACCTGTAAGCTGATATCATATGATGATAAATATTGCAAATATGATTTTGAAAAGACTAATATGCATCTACGTAGCCGATTATCGAAGCAGTATATATACAGATGTGCACGTATATATATATATGTCTTCAAATTCACAACATTGAAATGTATTTGTGTCTCTTGTGAACATATTTCGTCTAGTAACATACACGACTTGGGTGAAAGTAGTGCTGCCGCGGTCCGGTCCAGAACCACGGTTCGAACCGGACTTTTGGTCCGGTTCTCTGTGGTTCGGTCCATGGTTCCCTCACCAGCCAGAACCGGACCGGAAAACGGTTCTGGGTTCTGGACCTTCACTAATGGTCCGGTTCTGGTTCGACTTTCCTGAACCTTCCCGAACCGTTCTACCCACTGGCTTCCAGGTCCCCGTCGCATCCGCTGTCAAGAGCATATTTTGAATCTTGCAGCGCAACATTTTGTTGACGGAGTCGCACCCACCCCACAGGCAACCTTACTACGCAAGATCCGTCACGCTATCGATTATGACGAGGATACTGACATCACCAGCTTAACTGAACAACTTGCAGCATTGGAACACGACCCTGAAGCTATTGTTGAGGATGGTTTTGATGTCGGCGATGCTGTTGGAAAAGCATTGGCACTCATTGAACAGGTAAAGTCCTCTCTTTTTGTCTTCGAGTTCTCATTGACACAACCAATAACTAGATCCGTAAATCACCGCAAGCTCAAGCGTTTTTCAAGAAATCATGCGAGGAAGAAGGTGTTGCCGTTCGTGAGATTCTGACATGGGTGAGAACATGCTGGGCTTCCTTGTTCAAGTGCCTCGAGCGCTTCTTGTCTCTTCGCCTGGTAGGTGAGATGTACAACTGCCGGTTTAGTATCTAACATCTTTCAGGCTGTCAACCGCTTCACTCTACTTGCCGATGAGAGCCATGAGGTCCCAAAGTTGCGCAACAAGTCATATAGTGACTTCAAGCTTGATCGAGCCGACTGGAGGAAGATACGGCTAGTGCATGACGTCCTCAAGGTACTTATTTGTATATCTGTTTTTATTTTATTTACTGATTGTTATAGGAACCTGCAACTGCACAGCAATCATTCTCGTCGGTCACGTACCCAACAGCCTGGCAGACTATACCTACACTAGAGTGTCTCGCTAGCGCATGGGAGACGATGGCAAGAAATCCAGAATACGCAATAATCGTGGATGCCATTACGAAGGGTCTCAAGAATGTTGAGAAGTACTACCAGAAAGCTAGTGACTCGGATGTCTACTTTATCTGTCTAGGTAAGTATCGAGTTTTCGCTCAAGTCCATGTCTCATTTTGTTACAGTTCTTGACCCCAACTACAAGTTAGCATATGTTGAACGGCGATGGACTGAGATGAAGGTCGCGGATGGGAGGGCTCATCTTCAGGCGGTGGTGAGTACTATTCAACCTTAAGTATCCTGGCGGTCTCTAACTTCAGATGGATGCTTAGTTTGACAAATATTATCAAGCGCCTCCAGCCCCAGGACTGCAACCCAAGGAGCCATTGGCCATGTCAACAACGAAAGCTTCAATTTGTTATGGTGCTTCCTGGATGCGCGACGCTATCATGGAACGTCAAGCTACAGACCATCGCACGCGCGATCCTCATCAAGAGCTCTCCGCATACCTTACTTCACCATTGGAGGAGACGGATGACGTTGTCGCGTGGTGGGGTGTAAGTCAGCCCTCAAATTCATTGTTCCCCGCTTACATCCTTGATCAGTTACATTCAATGCAATATCCAATGCTAGCTCGTGTTGCGCGTGATTACCTGCCCATTCAAGGCAGTGCAGTCCCATCGGAACGCGCTTTCTCCAGTGCGGGGATCACATCGACTCTGCGCCGCAACGCCCTCGCACCATCCACATTCTCCGCGCTACAATTAATGAAGGCAGCCTATAAGAATGGTCATGTGTCAGCGGCAGTAGAGGCAGAAGAGTACGCAGCTGGTGTGTCATTAGCCTAGCTACCCAATGTCATGTAGATGTATTGTGAATGTTTTTCCTTGCTGCTTGAAAAATTTGCGGTTCGGTTCACGTTCGGACCGCAAAAAAACCGAACTGGACTGTTAAGAACCGTTCTTGATGGTCCGGTTCTGGGTTCGACAATTTTGTAGAACCGGACCATGGTCCAGTTCTCGGTTCTCGTCCAGGGCCCTCTGAACCGGACCGAACCGGACCACGGCAGCACTAGGTGAAAGTAGCACGTCAAACTTCACAAAGTGTAAACTAAATTAGGAAGTAACCTAACCCATTTGTGGATTAAGCTTTAAGGTTCAAGGCTCGATTTGTTTGTTTGTTTGTTTAGATGTGACTGGGCCACGGATTTGCTTTTGGCTCAGTTGACTGGGTTAGAACCACTGCTAGCTTCGTGTAACAGGCTGAGGGACTCGTAAGTGCTCAGTGCGGACGACTAATAGTCACAAGGTAACCCAATTATTCTTCTCTTCCATTCTTTTTCCCGATCCGGCCCCATCACTACAAAATTTCCTGCAGAAACCGCGTTCACTAGCCCAGTGAGAAGCATGCCGTTCTCCTTGATTGGGTTAAAAGGACTGCTGCCATCAGGAACTCTCAGGCAGCTTGACGGCGGTCACACAGTTTCTTCGCTTCCGACCCATTTATCTTGACAACGACCTTCACGTGTAAGCTTTTTCGTTGAACTCATATCCGGGCGCTGGATGGGCCAGATCCCGTATCTTAGTTCCCCCACTGTTATGGTCATTTATCGCACTCCGTCTATGCACCCTGTCAATGGTAGTGAATGTCAAGGCTGCGTATCAATAGTGTTCCCAAAGGCGAGTGATTTCAACACAACTCCCTACACATACTGGGCGCTAAAGCTGGCGCTCGCATCATTTTCTCGATGCTTCTCTGTTTTCACATAGTTACTCAAGAGCATGACAATGCCACTGGATGCTACCTCCCAACGTGCCTGGTGCGGTTCGGATCTTCTGATATTCTTGGTTGCCAGATCATACTGGCAGAAGTAGCCCCTGGACTGAGGTTTATGTACTCAGTTCGGTGATTATCTCGGAGTTCCCATCATGCGTAGATGGGACGAGCAAGGGAGGTCATGCCGTGTACTTGTAACTCACAAGTAAGGGCCGCTCTTTCTCTTCCCCCGTGACCTCTGACTGAAACATCCAGGCATGACGCGCATGGTTACCAACAACACAACAGTCGCAGGAGCATTTGCGGATACCATCGAAATGGTAGAGTATTTGGTGGCAGAAGCGAGGACGATGCCATATGCATCTTATGTCTCAGGAGCAGGACAGCTTCTACAGGAGTTTGTGCGCAACATCAATTGAACTCTCTCCACCCCAGATTTTAGATTCTCAAAGAGGGTTATTTGCTGTGCTTTGTTTCAGATAGCACTGAGTTCGAGGACGCGAAAGTACAGATCATCGAGTCTTTTTGGGCCGATACAGAGAAATTTTTGAGCGAGCTGCAATTAAGAATATTGAAGAGACGATCACACAAGGGAAGTCGTCAGCTCGTCGACGCGTTAGTGGCGGCACCTCTCTGCCGAGGAAGGAATATTCATGAAATTATTCTAATCAGCAGCGCGCTGCTTTGTTCTAGGAACGGCCAGCGCAACCTTCTGACTGACAATCTCAGTGGTTGCACCGTCCTCTTTTGTCACGGTTAACCTGCATTCTGTAAAGTATAACTGGAGTCTTCATTAACGCCCCGGAAATTTCACCCGCACTAGCACGATAGCTAAGCCCGAGTTGACTTATGTATATCATGAACGTAGTATACTTCGAGAGGAACAAGTTAGGGTCACGTGTGCGTGTTGATGGGAACGCGTCGTCGGAGTTGAACTGCAATTACAACTTGAATGTCCACAACCGCCACATCAATCTACATCAGATTGATCAATGGTCCACTACATTTGCGCGACGCTGGTCGACCAGATATAAGGCAAGGAGGAAGCAGTCGTTCCTTTTCATCTTCTTGGTTTTCTCCACCTCACGAGTCGAGCTCACAACACTCAGCGCAACGAAAACACTAGTGACATGTCCCCTACCGGCGAGACAGGCACATCGTCTACTCCGCCGCGCGCGAATGCACTAGCTCATAATGCTGGTCAAATAGAATCCACCCCAAACAGCCGTGGGGCTGCCGTCGTTAGCGAGAACATTGGACTGGTCGGTGTCAAGTGCGCACCTTTCCTGTTTTTTTTTGTGAGTAGCACCTAACGTTCCATCAAGGGTTAAGGAAGTCCGCCCATGGATTCAACGGGACATCGAGCAGGCTAAGCAGTGTAAGGCAGATGCCATGCTGCAAGCCCTCTTGCAGCGCGCTTCTTGCGCTCCGAAGACTAAACAGCCCGAGCTTCTACAACAGTGCCTAAAGGCAGTTCTTCCGGTTTGCAATGGACAGGTCACCACTGGAGGTATATGTTCTTCGGGAATTGAGACAGCCCTGAAAAAATAGTGTGTGCTCCTTCGCTGATCAGACGTTTTTATGCTTATGACGTCGTCACTGCAAGCGTACGTCCAGGAGTAGAAAACAACTTCTATGGCCCTTTTATAGAAGCCACCAACATTTCGCTCGCTTGTCTCGAAGAGATCAACGTCGACGGCATGCGTGCTCCTGCCTCCGCTGTGGATATGGTCTGTCAGCAGAACGATATGCCCATGTACCAAAATCACCAGACCGTCAAATCAACTCGGAAGCCCGACTGCGTGATTCTTCCTTTGAATAGCGCGTGCGCTCCCTTCGAGGATGAGAAGTGCGGCAAGAAGGACGACAAGAAGCGTAGGGCTCACATGACCAAAAATGCAATGGCAAAGCCGCCAGCGCCACTCCTCTGGACAGATGTTCTAGCTTGCATTGAGTTCAAGAGAAAGACAGATAGGAAGAAGCCGATTAAACCGCCGCACTCTTCGCATAAAGTGAATGACTATGTCCCTACCAAGCCAGAGTATCTGCCTGTGGATCATCTTAAGGCTACAGATCCGGCGCCAGGCCCTTCGCAGGCCCCAGCAACGCAACCTGCGTTCGACACTGCACGTAAGTGATAGTATTTCTTTATTTCAAGATCAAACTAAATCGGCCGAGCTACAGTTGTATCTTCCGGCCTTACTGCCACGCAGCCTTCCCAGGGCGGGTCCAGCTCCAAGCGCAAGGCCACGGACCCTTTGGAATCCGCCACGAAAAAAACCAGGATTAATCCCGACGAGCCAGATGTGACCGTTCAAACAGGTCTGTACGCCGCTGAAATGTTTGCGGCCAATCTTGCTGTCAATTATCTAATTAATCTTATCGTCGTCGGTGGGTTCGTTCGCCTGTTGACATCGGTCACGCTCTTACTACCGCTTTTTAGACGATGTGATCTGGATCTGGTATTATGATCGGCAGGGCACCATTCAAAGCTCGGGCATCAACTTCATTCAAGATCTACCACGATTCATGGTGCTGTTGTATGCTTTACAACGATTCGAGCTTAATGATTGGGGCCGAAACAAGGACTTCCTCCCAGTTCAAGTTGAGGGAAAACGATGTCATCAATTCAAAATCAAGGATGAGCAACTTGGAGACGTGGATCTGCTACTTCACACCAGCCACGACGAACGCGTGACGCACTACGGACTGCAAGGACGCGCCACCAATGTGGTCCCTGTCACTAGCGAAGTGCTTGCGAAGAAATATACAGACATCCAAGATGGGATGGTGGCCAAGATTTTTTGGGGAGAGGCGAATCGCACTAGCGAGCCAAAAATCTTGGAGAAAGTCAAGGAGATTGCTAAGGTGCACAGCACCGTAAAAGACCATATTCCTGAACTGCTCTGGCACCACACGTTTGCGAATCCCACGTCCGCTATCCGAGAAGCGCTTGGCGTTCCGGAGCCCACCACGGGTAGTCGCGTGCTCTACATCCTTGTATTCCGCAAGCTCCACTCCATTACGAAGCTTCACGGCAAAGAGCTCTTCGACGTATGGTATCAATGTATCCAATGTACGTATTTTATCGCATTTATGAGGCTCTTCGTTCACATAACATGCAGGCCACATTACTTTGTGGAAGGAAGGCGTATTTCATCGAGATGTCAGCCCTGGCAACCTGATGTGGTACAGGAGCCTTGGCAGACTGATAGGCGTTTTAAATGACTACGATCTATCCTCGTTGGCACATGAACAGGGTCCTCGGGGTAACGAGCGCACGGGCACAATACCATTCATGGCACTCGAGCTTCTCTCCGCACAGGGTCAACGAGGCGAAGTCAAACACCTATATCGTCATGATCTGGAGTCGTTCATGTGGTGCTTCGCCTGGATTTCTTTGCGTTACGAGAACGGAGCCCTTCTGACAGTGAAATCGCGCCGTTTGGATGATTGGGCCACTTCTGACGCAGTGACATGCGGCATGCTCAAGCTATACTTCCTGAACAATCTCAAAGAATTCAGATCTCCTCACATAGAACCACTTATGTGGAAGTTCCTTGTGGAATGTTTTGTGGTGCTCAAAAAAGAAGCCGATGCTCGATACTATCTTGGCCTTGAATCGCTTTCAGATGGAGACGAGCAGCCCAACCCCAAGGAATCCGAATCAGATATTGATGGTTTTTTACAGTCATTCAAAAATACGACGAGCTGGGCTGCGCTCAGCAGCCCTCCACAAAGACCTTCGCAGTGATTTTCTTTACTTGCTACGCGTGCTACATATCTTCCGATACTTGCGTCGACTCTCCGTGTGTGCCTCTTCTAGGGTATTAGGTAGACCAATCGAATAAATAGATGCATTAGTGACTTGTCAGTTCTCACTGCGGCTAATTTCCAACAAAAGATCTGCAGCATTGCATGCACTTATTGTGCTAAGTATTAGGACCGAGAAAATACGCTCAACATATCGTCATGGATTCCCAAATTAATTTGTACCTCAAATTATAGTCCGTGTTATCCACTGCGACGTTTCAGCAAGCCTTCTCCTTCAAACCCGAGGCTGCTGCCTATGGTATGTTGCTACGATCTCAAAAGACCTGTGTTCATAGTGGTTTACGTCGAAGAGCAACGCACTCGCAAGCCAGAAATCTTAAAAAGGTCTCCTACGTCGCAAAGCAAGAAACCGCCAGAGCCCATGTTCCTCAGAAGTTCGGGAGTCCCATATTCACAGCCCGAGAAGCCATTTGCTTGAATTGACGAAGGGCAGTCGCATGCTCTACATCATCGTATTCCGTAAGTTCCGATGCATCACGGAGCTCCATGGTGAAGAAAGCTGTCAAAGGCGCAGCTCACCACACAAGATATCAGGGAATAACTCTGAGGCGGTACGCAAGATGGTCTAATCGTTGAGCTGCCACAATGGAGCAGTGAGCAGCATACATTCATGTCGAGCTTTGTGTTTGTAGCTCGCAGGTCGAAGGACCCTAGGAAAATAAACGCATCAGTGAGTGGTTCTGAGTTATATCAGGACCCAGGGTGACGAACTCGAATGCGTGATCCAGTGGTCACTCGACAATTCTGTATGGATAACCTCTTGAACCGTTTTTGTTGAACACGCACCACGTGCATATATGCACCTAAGAAATGTGATGGAACCTGCCCTGTTTCCCAAGGCAAGCATTGACGAATCGAGGATTGGGCATGGTCGTGGTTCCCTGATCTGGTTGTTGTGACAAGGCGAACCTTCATTAGGACGTCAGAGAATGTTATTCCGCACCACTGAGCAGACTAATCGCTTGTGCTCGAAGAGGGTTACGGACGATGTCCTCAGATGAAGCTGTGTTGAGCAGCAGTCCTGTAACGTCTTGAATCTCGACAAAGGTTTGGGTGAAGTGATATGACATAGCTAGCACATTAGTACGTTCTCCCTTGAAGAGATTTTTAGCAGCTGCTCGAGCGATATTTCTTTGTTGGGATTGAGAACAGATATCACGCATCTCGAATACATATATCAGCTGCATGCCAGGCATGCAACGATGGATACATTCCCCTTGATGTGAGATTGCTGGAGGGGCATACAACATCTCGAATAGCCCGATCAAGAGATCCGAGAGCGATAGCGCTCCAATCTTGACATCATTTCAAACTTCACAACAGACGCCGAGAAGCAGCAACCATGCTTACCTTGATATATATTCGGCTACATGCGTCACTGGTTTTATCATCGCCCTAAACCACCCGAAGGGCCGTTGCCCTTGCTCATCTCCTCGAGGTGACTTGATATCGGGTGGTGTGCTGAAGTTAATTCCAGGGTCTGAATGCAGAGACGAAGTGCCTTGCCCCATGGATAGCGACAAATCCCAAAGAGTTCTCAGTATGATAGGTCGGACTACCTCGGTGGTAATGCGGGCCTGTCTGTCGTCTGACCAATGCACACAACCCCCAGAAAGGTGTACAATGACGGTTGGCAGTGCCAGTGACGTGTAAATTGCCATCGGTGGAATACTTTGCTGTTCCCTTTGTTGTATCGCTGAGAAGCCTCTTCTGCGCTCTAACTCTGTCCAAACGATAGAATGATGAGTAATATAAGACGCGCGAGCTCGAAACACATCGTAAACCGAGGCTTCCAAAAAAAGGTGCACAGATTGACGGAAGCCTCTCGTGCCCGTAATATGGAAATTAAAGTTGACCGCAGCATTGACAGACTGTGTGACGACTTAGATACTAAGGCTGACCGACAAGATCGACAGTCATTGTGAGGTAGATGCGACAGTACCTTTTGGATATCGACGAGCGTCGACAATCTGGGCACAACGCACACACGGGCTGCATCTCAATGACTCCAGGCTCATCTGCTGTTGCCATCCAGTTATGATACTCTTGTTGTTTCTCCATGACGTGCCATAAAGTAGGGGCAGAAATGGGAAATACACGTCCGACAGGATATTGATCGCAAGCTCCTTATTGAACTCGAGAAACTCAAAGAGCTTGGCAAAATACGACAGACGTCCCATCATCAAGGGGCTCCCAATCCGACACGACCAGCGAAACAGGAGGCACGATCAAAGCGAAGTCAATGACAAAGTAGAAGACGACGAAGCATGATGCAATGGTTCCGGTAATGCAAAAAGAGCTATCAAAAACAAACGTGTACATACAATTCGGACCGGCTATGACTCGGGATTCGGGATTGTGATCACCGCAAGATCACCGACATAAAAAATCGCTCTAGTTCTAGCTCTGAGGCCTTGAGGGTCCACCATTGACCACTTTCATCTTCTCATTCTACTGGTGACGACTCTAAATACGACATCCTGTCTCTTATGCTGTCAGATCAATTGGAATTCGTTGTGCCACATTGGATGATCGGAGAACTTGACGATTCTAGCATGGAAGATACATTCGCTGCCCGGCTTAGGGCCTGATACGGGCCCCGGCTTGAACATCTGCATTGGACACAGCCTGAATCGACGGCGTGGAAGCATCTCTCCAATTTCCTCACCGTGCACACGGTAGCAATCTGTATCAGATTCCTTTACCCGTCGAACTGGCGTAATCTCAATTTCACACCGAGTCAGTGTCGCAGACTTTTTTTGACGTAGAGATGGCTGCAAACACACCCTCATCACTAAAAACTTTTCTGCAGAAACCGACCAGCTCATTCTTTCGCTCACTGGCGCAGTGCGAAGTATGCTGTTCTCCTTGATTGCATTGAAAGGACATCAGGAACTCTTAGGCAGCTTGACGGCAGTCACGCAGTTTTTTACTTCCTCATTTACCTTGACAACGACCTTCTGGTGGAAACTTTTTCGTTGGACGCACATCCGCGCGCAGGATCTGGCAGGCCCAGGCTCCGCGTCTTAGTTTCCCCACCGTTATGTTCTAAGGGTCATTTACCGCACTCCATCTATGCTCCCTGCCAATGGTAGTGGATGCTGAGGCTGCGTGTCGATATCGCTCCCAAAGGCAATTCATTCCAACACGGCCACACATGCCGGGTGCTAAAGCTGGCGCTCGCATCATTTTCTCGATGCTTCCCTATTCCTCCATAGTCACTTAAGAGCATGACAATGCCACTGGAAGCTACTTCCTATCATGGCTGGTGGGATTCGGATCTTCTGCGTTTATTGGTGGTCAGATCACAGGAGCAACCCCTGGGCCCAGATTTATATGCTGATGTTCGGTGATTATCCCATAGTCCCCGTCAAATTTTGCCATGCGTAGATGGAGCGAGCAAGGGAGGTCATGTTGAGGCCTTGTGGCCTGTACATGTGTTTATACAGAATTTTTTTCTGTATTACTGTTACGGACTTGCACAGGCCATCCAACGTGTACGAGTCTTGAATCTGCGGGTCATCAATCAGATTTGCAAACGACTTAACATTGGCGAAGTAGCTTTTTATTTGTTGCTTGAACACCCGTTGGTTTGGGCAGTCACATTCACGTTCGGACTCAGTTTTATAGAAGGGTGAAAAGGAAATGAGGTGGTGCTCACTGCCGGCATGAATTGCAATTGATTCCGCTCTGCCGTGGCGTTGCTGATGCTGGTTGCTGGCCTCCTCTTCTCTAATCCTATTCTGTGTTTATTTTTGTACGCACACCACAGTCTTCTCCGAGTCGGATCTAACGTTGACCTCGAGTGTGCACAGGTCAGAAGCACGGAATAAAATTATACTTGCCATAGAGGGAATTCATCTAGCCGTATGGCGCAATCAACATTCAAGGTTCCATACTAGTACTGATCCCTGGCTTGTGCTCGTTGAACTAAGTCAGATCCGGTCCCGGGTGATGTATACGCGCTATTACAACAACGTTCCATTCCACCTCACCCTGCTCCGCCCGAGATTATTTGCACGCTGTACCACGGCTAACAGGTTAACTTTGGCGTCAACTATTGGATCAACTTGAAAGTGCCTCGTTGCTCAGGTCAGTAGCACTCGGATGCAGAAGTTAGTCAACTCGAATCCGTGTCTAGACCTCGAAGTTTTTCAATTTTGAATTCTCTGTCTGGCTGCACAGTTGTAGGTCAGAACTTGGGGAAAGGGATTTACCATAAATCGGTCGGACAATTCTATTCGGATGGTAGGTCTCCAATTCAAATAAGTACTCTCTTGCTTAACGAGCGCATTTACAAAGTTGGCGCTCATTTGTGGGGATCACAGTTCCATTCCATCAAGTAGTTCACATGCATACTGCACTGCAAATGCGTTTCGCCGTAGTGACCGCCGAAAAACTCTCTTATCATACGTTAAGCGCACACAGGTTCGACTCAGCCGCCCATTCCCATGCATTTTCAACTGTTTGAAAAACTTCTCCGATGACGCGCAAGTCCCGACCGATTGTATCACCTGGCCCCACAATCAAAAATGAGGGATTCTGAGCCGCCGATATACTCGCGATCGCCGATCATTCAAGTTTGCGAAAGGAATGCGTCGGAACATCTTATGAACGCAACCGTCGGATCCACACATGCTGCCCATCCATAGACATCAAGCATGGAAGTAGGTTGCGAGAAATGAACGTGCCGGTTATTCGGAAATATGTCCCCTATCGTGTGCTCACAGCCATAGACGTCAAATGTGGAAGTACGTTGCGAGAAATGAACGTGTCGGCTATTCGGAAATATATCCTCTATCGTGTGTTCACTCAAATGTTCCCAACACTAGCCTCGTTGCCTTTCGAATTCCACTTCCTTATTCGCTCCTTGCACGATGCTAAGGACACCGACAGGCACCACTTTCATCCGTCGTAGTTTTCCGTTAAAGGCAGCCATGGACATTGCATAGACCATTCTTATTGTTTCTGGGTGGAGCTTTATCGGCGCCCTCTGGTGTTTCCAGTGCATGGCCCTCTCAAATTGGACGGTCATCAATTCTCGAGCATCCGACAACTTTGACTGTGCTAATCTCCACCGTACTATCCGTGATCACGACGAGGTCGGTTGAAACTTGCGCAAGACGACAACGGTATGTTCTGACTTCATGTTGCCCAGCCTACTCACAATAGAGTCTCGTACAGCGGGTCAACAAGGGGCGAGACTTGATTTTCATGTATTGTTGAAAGCTCGTGGTAGCGCATTCGACAAGATGGTCTAATCCCTGCCGTGAACGATTCTGATTATAGCAGCTTTCCTGTTGCTTAGATCTGACCGCATATGGACTTGCTTTTACCAGTGGTTTCATGCCCCAATGTGATAATCCACCTAGGTCGCCACCTTTTTGGTTTCCCTCTCCAGGGTCTTGGAAAGAACTATACCGTAACCCAGTAAGGCCTCACCGCAGAAGTTAACTGTTAAGATGGGAATACTTCTACAGTGCCTATTCTGATACCTTCAGTTTCATTTCCCACTGGGGACAACGTCAGCTTGACAATGTGGTAAGTGGTAGCAGAGTGTCCAAATGACAAGCAAATCATTCCCTTAATTCTGAACAAAACATCACATCTCGTGTTACAGGAAGAAAGATATTCTGATAACAGGTCGTACTAAAGATGCACTCCTGCCTACGACCGTCTGCGAGGTCGTCCTGCACGCGACGACAGTGGACGTCATATATGATCGAGGCATAGTTTCGACAGCAATAGCTGATCGCCGTCCTTTCGAAGACTCGAACATGGTCTTCACCAAGTTCATCGGATCAATTATCAAGCAGAGAACAAACAAGGCTTCCAGACCATTCTTATCAGACTACTTAACGGCTTGCATTGATAGCAATTCAATTGCCGTCAGGTGGTAGGAAACCTGCCATTGCTGTTCTCAAACGCAAATAATTTGTTAACTGCAGGAAGGGTAGTGGTAGAATTCAGTGGTACAGTAGGTTGCAATCACCTCTTCTGGCGAACACGCTGATGATGGCTTTGTCATCGGCAGTATTTGAGACTTGCCACTGGCGTTCTTCCCTGGACAGAATCTGAGACTCTGAGTTAGTACGTATGACTGGGAAGAAGGGCGTCTCATCTACCTGTTTTCTGTTCGTTATCTTTAGAATGTTTTGGTTATTGCCGCCAAATTCAATTTGAAGAACGAACTGCAGCATCTACGAAGAGATGGTGTTGTGTTTGACTACTGCGACCCCATCCGCCTCATCGCGACTACTGCGATTGGTGGGCTAGAAGGGCAGCTGTTTGGTCTTGAGCACCATGGTGGCTTGAAGAGGAATGGAGAGATCGAGATTCGGCACGTGGTGGAATCGGCGAGCATGGAAGGAAGGAAACGGCTAGGTGTATCATAACTGCGGCCCACCATGTAGGTGCCGGTGCCGGAACCACACCCCAATACATACCTTGCAGATACCAGCGTAGGAATTACGTCGATGATAGCAGCAACTTCATATATAGCGATGCATGATAGGTTTCATTAAGCTTCCGAACCTCGGCCTGGAACGTAGCCGGACGGTAGCGTCTGCGTCGACTCATTGAGCTGCTATGACATCTATACTGAGAACTACTGTATAGTCTCGTAGTCACATAGGGTGGGCTGGCAGTTAATCCGTAAACCGCTTACATAAGCATTAATCAACACGGAAAGTGTGACACGCGGCGGCGGCCCTTCGGTCTCTTCCCGCTCACATGCCCTCGAAACTCGGAGGATGATGTGGGCTCACTGTACGCCGAGCATGCAATTTGCTGCAGGTATTTGAAATTAAGCGCATTTCTCCCAGTGTCCCAGTGACTTTCTTCGAAGTATCCATAGGGCTGAAATTTAATTTCTCAGCAAAGGCAAACTGTGCTGGCAAGTTTTTGTATACGTATGTTGGTACCATCTATGAATCTGAACCTCCAACAGGGTCACTCCAAGGGGGAGGTTGGATCTCACATCTTCAGTATCCCCTTGTCTTCAAGTTCGCCCTCAAGTTCCCGAGGACTTATCCAGGGAGAATCAAAATTTAAGTAACGCAATGAGAGTGGCTGCGTGGCTGATCGTCTTCATTGTGTGCATCTTGCGCATACGCAGTATCAGGTCCCGCGACTAATTCTAGAGTCCAGGCTGTGTCAGTGGCGTACATGCAGCAAGTATATAATATTTTTATGCGAGCGAGAGACAGCTGGATTCTGCGTCTACCTCTTCTCTTCTGATGCATCATACTCACTCCAAATTCGTGCACTACACAGTCATTATCATCAGCCAGATTTTCATCCTGGCATTTGGATACGGATTCCTTGGTGCTGTTGCTTACTATGAGTACCTTGCTCCATCTGATTCAGTCTGCGAGACAATGAAGAACCATCCTGGGGAGGTAACAATGCTAGTCGCATTGATAGCAACTGTGCTATCAGTCATCACTGCTACGTCCGTCTACTTTTTGTTCTTTTCGACTGATCGTTCATGAAATGTGATTTTTTCCACCAGCCTTTTCACGCTGTCCGTCAAAGAGGCACTAAGACATCGAATATGCCAGCCCATTTCCCTAATTCAACTGAGTGCTGGTGTCGCTTTAGGCACAGGGCTCTCATATTCTCAGCCATCGACACGTGGAATTGACAGTCCTGACGTTGTTTATATTTGGGGTGCTGAAGCTCTTAACGGCCGGGTGCGTCTTTTCTGAAACCATTGTCGAGATCTTCTTATTCAAATGAGGTTATAGGTGGACAACTCTCTTGACACCGACCTACTTCATGTGGCCAGTACAGATGAATGGTTCCGAAATTGACATAACTGGAAGCGCATTTGCCACCTTGCTTCAAGAAGAATTCCTGGCAAGTGGTCTCAGTATGTATCTCTACTCAAGTTACCGAGTGGTCTGTGAAATGGGATAACGAAGTCCAGAACGATGCTTTCGAAGTTCTCGATATCGGTGGGATGCTCAGTGGAGTTGCTGCTGCAGGGTTTACCTTCGGTCTTCCTGGGACATTCAATTTTAATGGTGCAAAATATAACATATCCACTCGTACGTCTAGTCTCTCAGTTCACTCTAAACTATTTTACGACACTGTGCAACCAGAGGGGGTCGTACCTACCATTGAGGCATTTTCCGGCTCGGATGGAATTCCAGATGCTAATGGTACTCGTCTCGGGTTTTCCGGTGGAAATGTCACGGTCAACACAGGAGTCGTACCCGGATTACACTCCGGCGTACCTATTCCTCAAGGTTTCAGCACGAACTACTCCATGTGGCAACAAGGGTTGACAGCGAATGTCAGCTGCCAGGCCATTGACTCGAGTCAAACGCAGTACCTTTGGAACACGAACAACTCTGATGTCATCTATACCAACCCAGCTGCTTCGAGCAACAACTTCATTGCTGGCCTTCGCTTGTGGAATATCAGTGTAAACTGTGGTACCAGTAAGTTCGGATATTGGATATCTTTCCTTGTGTTCACTGACGGCTTCTAGATACCTCGACAGCGTACGAATATGTGACCATGGTGGATGCAAATGGAAATGGAAACTTATCAGGGAATGGCTTTCTTCCATCTGTTGTGTGCCTAGGACCAACGTATATGAACCAAAATTATACAAGCTTCAGTGAGCTCTTGGAATATGCACGTTGGGACTCATTGACCGAATCTGTTTCTGTAGCCATTTTTACGCAAGGGTTTTACAAGTATGATTTCCTTAAAGCAAGCGTGTGCGAAGTGGTTCCCCTGTTGACCAGAGTCCGCGCCGATTACTCCAACGAACAAATTTCTTCTGAGGTCATCTCATCCACTCCTTTCCAGTCAGAGAATGCCGAGCTACTGTTATTTATCGCTGGAGTTGCCAGGTATCAGTCGATCAACTCGCAGGGACTTACGAGCAGCACCATTGGGGATACCCTGTACTCTACCTATTCTTCGACTACTACTGAATACGTCAATAACAATCTCAATGACACGCAGGTTTACCTTGAGCTTGTCAGTTTCACGTCATACAATCTTGATCCACTTCTTATGACTTTCTTAGGAGGATTACTGGCGTGGTGTTGTTGAGTTTTCTGCCACAGTGAGGTTGCTGGTCTGTTCAATATAGTCTAAATTGACCTAGCATCATTTTACAGTTTCTTCGCTCCGGGTTCATGGCTACAGGCAGCTTCCCCGATAATATCATCCCGAACAACCTCTCTTCCCCAATCAACGGGACCATGTTCATATCGACGATAGGCTGGACTCGCTGGACTAAGAACTCGCCGACGTATCTGCTCGCTACAGTGCCGCTCACCATCATCACCATCCTCACTTTCTCCTGCGCGTTGTACAGTCTTCTGGAGACTTTGGAAGAGCATCGAAACCACACTCACAAGGCCCACTTCAATGTGTCAAATACAATTCATCTCGTTATGCTATGCGCTGCCGGAAGTCTCAAACTGGCAGATTTCGGCAATCGCAAGGGGATCAAGAAAAATGAGGTTGTGAAGGTTCACCTGGAGGATCTCCACTCCCCCCGGCTTTCAACTTGAAGTTAGAGCGAGGTCGGGAAACACGAAGGGGATGCATGATTTTCAACCATATCGCGTAATGGTAGTCTGTTCTCAGTTGTATGTGAACCTAACTTGGTCTTGTTTGACATTTGTAGTGCACGATGTCGAACTATAGAGTAATAAATGTCATTGTTTTTGGTTTTAGGATGTGATATGGATCCAGGAATAGGAACGCTCTCGGGCTACACCGCGTAAACTATATTGTAGAGCTCTAACTTAGAGGTGTACTATTACAAGATCCGTAATGCACGGTCCTTTCCAAATTTCCAGTATAAGTATACATTTACAGGGTATGTATGATCTATGAGGCTACGATAATGTGATTGTCGACGTGTTGAAAAAAAAACCATACAGCTACAATATGTCTAGGGTCCTGATGTTCATAATGTCAATCGAAGCCGTGTGTTTGACCTGCGCAATGATATTATGGTCCGACGCGACCCTTTTGTATTCTCCAACGCGTTGCTGCGCTAGTAAAAGTGTGCTGAAAGCCTGCCCAAGGTGAACCATCAAACGCAATGATCGCGAGTGAGCTTCCGAGTCAACTGACAATTCCTCTTCTCAGCTGAATCGTTGGACAACTCGTCAGTGTGATCTAATGCAGACTCGGACTCGGACCAATCCCCTACGCTCTCCCCTTCGTCTGCAAAGGCAAGCTGCTCCGCAAATTCAGGCAGCCTATGCAAGGCAGACGGAGTCTGCAGTTCGCGAAGAGGGAGGCATTCATGCTCTCAAGCAGGTTATACAGTTTCGAAGCTAAATCCACAGCCACAATGTTTCGCAACAAAGAGACCGCCGTCTGAATCCCATCTTCAGACAATGATGGTAAGGAGCATGGCGGCGTTGCATATGAGATAATATCGACTGGAAGGCAACTATTGAACTCGGACGATTGTCCGACCCAGTCGAGGGAAGTGATGTCACCTGAGCACATTTTGCTTCTTCTCGCCATATATTACAGGCAGATGAACGCTAAAGATACGAGTACATGATGTCTTCCTGCATGGTGGTGACACATCTTGATGCCCATTGCAATTTCTCTCGAGCGCCTCTCATCCCTGGATGGAAGGAGATCAGGGCCTGTGCACCTATTCCCGTCGCACCCTCCAATTCCTTCATGATTGCAGGGGACCTTTTGTGGTTGGGAGAGCGATCGTCGAGATATAAAGACCAGTCCTTCTGATAAAATATAACGACTTTCGGAGCGACGAATTTTTGAAAGGCCCATCCTCGTTCGTTCCAAACACTACTCGCCAGTGCACCGGACTGGGATGAAGGAGGGACGTCAGATAGGTGGATGGTGGTGAGCGTTGAGTGGCGGTACCAGACGAACATGAAGTTGACTGGTTCTTCAAGCTCGACGTTGTTGCTCTTATCGATGCAGCATGTATCCATCCACGCCTAGAAATACCCCGCATTAAAAGCGATTTTGCAGAATGACTGCAGTTTCACGATGCCACCAAGTCCATTCAGCTCGTACATGACTTTGTCCTGGATGTCGTGCAGCAGCGCCTCCGTCTCTTCCCACCTGTGTGATAGCAGGACGCAACGGAAGTGCATCGCCACCACTTCCTTGATGCGTTCCATTCGGAGATCTGAACGCTTCGTTATGGATGACAAAAGCTCCTTGTACTCTGGAGTTGTTTTGAAAGAGTTTAGCTGTGCTGCTCGGTCGCACAAAAGACCCGTAGAGGTGTTGAGCAGACAAAGGGGGGCGTTGCTGAGTTCAATCCAAACTGCTCTTCGAATAACGTCTTCTGCTTCGGATGGACAGATGTACTCCTGTAGCCTGCGTGACACTACGGACTCTAGACTTGCTGTCGGACCAATCAAAGCAATCGGCGTTTGTAATTTCGTTACTCGAAACCGTCATGTGTTGGTATGATTTCACAGTATCTTGGAGTTTACCCGCCTGAAAAAGTGCATCACCTTAACGCACCACCACCAAATCCTCGTATATTTCGTGAATGTTCGATTTCGATGATAAATCGCGGCGGTTGAGAGCGGCAGTGAAATAGTCAGCGGCTTCGTCGTGACGTGCGCCATCTAAAGTTTTGATTCCGAGTTGAACGTGTAGATATGCATAATGTGCGAGTTGCAAAGATGAATGTTGATGACCAAGCATGGATGATACTTACTTGCACGACACGACATACGAGAGTATCGGCATTCGGACAACCGGCAGCGAGTTCTTTGAGGAGCAGGTTTGCCTCGGCATATTGATCTGCATTGAAGAGCGCTCAGGCCTGAAAAACACAATGAAGCGGAGAGTATGCGAGGCAAATGTAACATACCTTGATCAATAGTAGAAAATGAACGATTTCTGGTCCGTATACATGAATGCAACATCAAATGATGCTCTCGCGTCCCAAATGCGGTCTTTTCCGCAGAGGGCTATGCCCTTGGATATATAGCCTGTCAGTGAGGGCTGAATACTGATGGACTGTCACCGTCGAGTTAGTCTTTCAATGATGAATGAGTGAATCTCACCTTGGTTGCATCATGCCACTGCTGTGCTCAGACGCAAATATTTTGTTAACTGCAGGAAGGCTATTGGCGTGGGGTGGTATTCAGTGGCATAGTAAGTTGCAATCACCTCTTATGGAGAAGACGTTGATGGCTTTGTCACTGGCAGTTTCTGAGACCTGCCACCGGTGGTCTTCCCTGGACAGAAATACCTTCCGACATGTGTTGTCACGACTGGCATCATGTTCTGAGTCAGCACGTATGACTGGAAAGAAGGACGTCTCATCTACGTGTTTCCGTTTGTCATCTTTACGATGATCGGGCTGGTTACTGTTATTGCCGTCGGATTTAGTTCGAAGAACGAACTGCAACATCTACGAAGAGACGATGTTGTGTTTGACAACTGCAGCCCCATTCGCCTCATCACGGGTACTGCGGCTGGCGGGTTAGAAGGGCAGCTGTATGGTCTTGAGCGCCATGGTGGCTTGAAGAAATTGAGATTCAGCACGTGGGGGAATTGGCAGGCATGGAAGGAGGCCTTTAGGGGTATCATGTGGGGCGCACCATGCAGGTGCCGGAGCTGGAACCGCACCCCAAATACCAGCGTAGGAATTAGGTCGGTGGGCCATGGCACAGCAACTTCATATATCATAGCAATGCATGATGGATTTCATCACGCTTCCGAGCGCCTGGAACGTGGCCGGGTACAATAGCGTCTGCGCCAACTCGTCGAGCTGTTATACCATTTATACGTCTCGTAGTCACAGGGTGGTTTAGCCCAGCAAGCCGCTTACATAAGCATCAATAAACACATACTGGGAAGGTGGCCGCCTCAACTTAGTCATGACACGCCGTGGCGGCCCTCCAATACATTGAAGTTTACTTCAACTCGCATGCCCTCTCCTTCCCCTCCAAGTTCGAAGGATGATCTGGAGTCACCGCATGCTAGGGGTGCAATTTGCTACAGGTGTTGGAAATTAAATGTATTTCTCTCGGTGCCCCAGTGAGCTTCTTCGAAGTATCTGTAGCGCTGAAATTTAATTTCTCAACAAAAGCAAATCTGGCAAGTCCTTGTATACGTATGTTGGTACTATCTATGAATCTGAACCTTTGACAGAGTCACTCCAAGGGGGAACTTGGATCTCACATTTTCAGTATGCTCTTTTCTCCAATTTCTCCTTGAAGTTCGCGAGGACTTGTCTAGGCGAATCAAAAATTTCAACGACGCAATGTGACTGGCTGTGTCAATGGCGTGCACGCAGCAAGGGTCGAGTATATATATATTTCTATGGAAGTGACAGACAGCATGGATTCTGCGTCCACCTCTCCTAGGCCTCTTGCGGTGTCTCATGCTCACTCCAAATTCGTGCACTACACAGTCATCATCATTAGCCAGATTTTCATCCTGGCATTTGGATATGGATTCCTTGGTGCTGTTGCTTACTACGAGTACCTTGCTCCATCTGATCCAGTCTGCGAGTTAATGAGGAGCTATCCTGGAGAGGTAACGATGCTGGTCACATTGATAGCAACTGTGCTATCAGTCATCACTGCTACGTCCGTCTACCTTTTGCTCTTTTCGATTGATCGTTCATGAAATGTGATCTTTCCACCAGTCTTTTCACGCTTTCGGTGAAAGAGGCACTAAGACATCGGATATGCCAGCCCATTTCTCTAATCCAACTGAGCGCTGGTATCGCTTTGGCACAGGGCTCTCATATTCTGAATCATCGACACATGACATTGACAGTCTTCACGCTGTTTGTATTTGGGGTGCTGAAGCTCTTAACGGCCGGGTGTGTCTTATCTGAAACCATTGTCGAGATCTTTCTTATTTGAATGAGGTTATAGGTGGACAACTCTCTTGACACCGGCCTACTTCATGTGGCCAGTACAGTTGAATGGTTCCGAAATTGACATAACTGGAAGCATGTTTGCCACTTTGCTCCGCGAAGAATTTCTGGCAAATGGTCTCAGTATGTATCTCTACTCGAGTTAACGAGTGGTTTTTTAAATGGGATAACGAAGTTCAGGACAATGCTTTCGAAGTTCTCGATATCGGTGGGATGCTCAGTGGAGTTGCTGCTGCAGGGTTTACCTTCGGTCTTCCTGGGACATTCAATTTTAATGGTGCAAAATACAACATATCCACTCGTACGTCTAGTCCCTCAGTTCACTCCAAACTATCTTACGATACTATGCAACTAGAGGGGGTCGTTCCTACCATTGAGGCATTTTCCGGCTCGGATGGAATTCCAGATGCTGATGGTACTCGTCTCGGGTTTTCCGGTGGAAATATCACAGTCAACACAGGAGTCGTACCCGGATCACACTCCAGCGTACCTATTCCTCAAGGTTTCAGCACGAACTATTCGATGTGGCAACAAGGGTTGACAGCGAATGTCAGCTGCCAGGCCATTGATTCGAGTCAAACGCAGTACCTTTGGAACGCGAACAACTCTTACGTCATCTATACCAACCCAGCTGCTTCGAGCAACAACTCCATTACTGGTCTCCGCTTGTGGAATATCAGTGCAAACTGTAGTACCAGTAAGTTTGGATCTTGGATATATTTTCTTGAGTTCACTGATGGCTTCTAGATACGCTGACAGCATACGAATATGTGACCATGGTGGGCGCAAATGGAAATCCGAACTTATCAGGGAATGGCTTTCTTCCATCTGTTGTATGCCTAGGACCAACGGATATGAACCAAACTTATACCAGCTTCAGTGAGCTCTTGAAATATGCACGTTTGGAATTATTGACCGAATCTGTTTCTGTAGCCATTTTTACGCAAGGGTTTTACAAGTATGATTTCCTTAAAGCAAGCGTGTGCGAAGTGGTTCCCCTGTTGACCAGAGTCCGCGCCGATTACTCCAACGAACAAATTTCTTCCGAGGTCATCTCATTCGCTCCCTTCCAATCAGAGAATGTCGAGCTACTATCATTTATTGCTGGAGTCGCCAGGTATCAGTCGATCAACTCACAGGGACTTACGAGCAGTACCATCGGGGATACCTTGTACTCCATCTATTCCTCAACTACTACCGAACGCATCAATAACAATCTCAATGACACACAGGTTTACCTTGAGCTTGTCAGTTTCACATCATACCGTCTTGATCCACTTCTCATGATCTTTTAGGAGAATTACTGGCGTGGTGTTGTTGAATTTTCTGCCACGGTGAGATTGCTGGTCTGCCCGATATAGTCTAAATTGACCTAGCGTTATTTTGCAGTTTCTTCGCTCCGGGTTCATGGCCACAGGCAGCTTCCCCGATAATATCATCCCGAATAACCTCTCTTCCCCAGTCAATGGGACCATGTTCATATCGACAATAGGCTGGACTCGCTGGACTAAGGATTCGCCGACATATCTGCTCGCCACAGTCCCGCTCACCATTATCACCATCCTCACTTTCGCCTGCGCATTGTACAGTCTTCTGGAGACTTGGGAAGAGCATCGGTCTAAAAAGCACAAGGCCCACTTCAATGTGTCAAACACAATTCATCTCATTATGCTATGCGCTGCTGAGAGTCTCACACTCGCACATTTCGCCACGCATAATAATGGGAATGCGATCAGGAACAATGAGGTTGAGAGGGTTCAACTGGACGAGTTCGACTTCCCCCGGCTCTCAAACTCAAAGTTTGTGGGAGAAGGGAAACATAAAGTGGATGCATGATTCTCAGCCATATCACGTTACGGTAGTGTCTGTTCTCAGTTGTATCTTCAAGGGTCTTGTTTGGCATTTGTAGGGCACGGTGTCGAATTATAGAGTAATAAATGTGATTGTTTTGGGTTTTAGGATGTGATATGGAAGTGGACGAAGTCTTCAGCCAAACTGAAGACTGTCATATTGATCATGTTCGTGCATTCCACACGGAATACTCCTAGGAAGGGTCTCGGCTACACCATCAGTTCTGTAATGCACATAGGTCAGAAGCACAGAACAAAATTATACTTACCATAGAGGGAATTCATCTAGCCGTATGGATATTCAATGTTCCATACTGAGTGCACTGATCCCTGGCCTGAACTTGCCAAGCCACGTCCGGCTAACAATGTTCCTGCTCCACCCGAGGTTATTTGCGCGCTGCACCTCGGCCGACAGGTTGGCGTCCAGTAGTAAATCCTTAACTTTATGCCTCAACTTGGAGGCTCTTTCACCGGTGGTATGATCAAAAAAACGCTCAACCCACGCAGTCAACGCTATGCTCTGATGGACGACTGCCTCTCCACAGTACCTAGTGCGCAGCTATCGGATACAGTACTGTTTGGCCTTTTGTATGTGATGATTCACTCTATGTAAATTTTGTTGATGCTATCATGACAGTGCCTCGTTACTCAGGTCAGTGGAACTCGGAGGTCAACTCGGATCCGTGTCCAGATCTCGAAGTTTTTCAATTCTAATTTTCCTGTCTGGCCACACAGTTGTAGGTCAGAAGACTCAGAACTTGTAGAAAGCTTAAGGGATTTACCATAAAACGGTCAGACAGTTCTATTCGGGCGGTAGGTCTCCTATTCAAATAAGTCTCGTGCTTAACGAGTGCATCTACAGAGCCGTTGAAGGTACAACAATTCAGATGGTGAGTCTGAACAATGTTGGGTCTTGCAGAACCTAGCTGCTATGCGACCCTAAAGGGTTTCTGGACCAGGCTCAAGGCTCAGAGAAGAGGAAATATGATAGAAACTTGCTGAATACTCAGACTCATAGTAGAACTGGTGAAAAGGTAACTTGATTATGTAAGCTACAAAAGTGCAAACATAACACTAAGGTAAAAACAGTCTCTGCAAGCCCAGCCAGAAATGAATCCCTACACCGTCGCTCATTTGTGCGTATCACAGTTCCATTCTATCAAAGTGGCTTGCATGCACTCTGCACTGCAAATGCATTTCACCGTAGTGACCGCCGGAAAACCCTCATGTCGTACGTTAAGCGCGCATACGTTTGACGCAGCCGCCCACTCCTGTGCATTTTTCAATTCTTTGACACGCTTCTCCGGTGACGTGCGGGTCCCGAGTGATTGCATCACTCGGCGGCGCGATACAAAATGAGGGACTCTGAGCTGCCGATGTACTTGTTGATCATTCAAGTTTGCGCAAGGGATGCATCAGAACGTCTTATCAATGCAACCGACCCACACATGCTGCCCAGCCATAGACGTCAAGCATGGAGGTACATTGCGAGAAAGGTTATTATTTCCGCTATCATGTACTCACCTCAAATGTTCCCAACAATAGCCTCATTGCCTTTCGAATTCAAGGTATGTCCACTTCCTTATTTGTGTTCCTTCAAGCACGATGCTAAGAACACCGCCAGGCGCCACTTTTCATCCGTCATAGTTTTCCATCAGAGGCATCCACGGACACTGCATAGATTGTTTTTGGATGAGGCTTTAAAGCTTTATGGGCGCCCTGCGGTGTTTTCGCCATTTCAGAATGGACAGTCGGATTAATTCTCGAGCGTCCGATTTGATGGTTTCTCTGATCTCCACCGTACTATCTAAGTGAGCACGTATGGCCGGGAAGAAATTTAAAAGTGTCTCGTCCAGTTTGAAGAACGAACTGCAACATCCACGTGGAGACAATATTGTGTTTGACTGCTGTGACATTATCCACCTGTCGTGGGCTAGTAGAAGGGTATCTTGAGCACCATGATGGGAGAGGAATGAAGAGATCGAGATTCGACACGTTGGGAGCATCGAAGGAAGGCTAAGAAACGGTTAGGGGTATCCTCTACAGTCTACTTAAGTACAATGCAGATAGGCCGGTGGCGGAACCGCACCCTAGTACCTTGCGGATATTAGCATAGGAATTACGTCGATGTGGCAAAGTAACTTACATATCCTTATATAGCGATGCATGATGGATTCCATTACATTTCCGAGCGCCTGGAACGTAGCGTGAGCCTGGTGGTTTTCATCGGGTCATGGCACAAGCCCAACCGCTTACATAAACACATACCGGGAAAGTTGGCTCACACTGCGCAACCTGACTCGCATGTGCCATGCCCTCTCCTTCCCCTCAAAGCTCGAAGGATGATCTGAAGCTGGGACACCGCGTGCTAAGGGTGCAATCTAGGAAATTAAGCGTATTTCTCCCGGCGCTCCAGTGAGCTTCTTCGAAACATCTATAGCGCTGAAATGTAATTTTTTGACAAAAGCAAACTGGCAGGCAAGTCTTTGGCGTATGGTATGTTGCTACCATCTATGAATCTGAATCCTTAACTGAGAGTCACTTTAAGGGGGAGGTTAGATCTCATACATTTGTAGTATGTCCTTGTCTCCAGGCTTCAAGTTCCCGAGGACATGACTGGGGCGAATCGAGATTTTAAATGACGCAACGTGTCTCTATCTACTTACCATGTTGGTAATAAAGAGTAGTTGTGTTACTGATCATCTTCATTGCGTACATGCAGCAAGGATCAAGCATATAACATTTATATCCAAGTGACAGACAGCATGGCTCCTGCATCTACCCCCATGTCTCGTATTCACCCCAAATTTATGGGCTACACAGCGATTATCATCATCCAGATTTTCATCATGACATTTGGATACGGATTCCTTGGTGCAGTTACCTACTATGAGTACTATACTCCATCCGATCCGGCCTGCGAGTTGATGAGGAGCTATCCTGGAGAGGTAACAATACTTGTCACATTGATAGCAACTGTGCTATCAATCACTACTACCATGTCAGTCTACCTTTCGCTCTTTGCAACCGATAGTTAGTGAGATGCGATTTTTTCCACCAGTCTTTTCACGCTTTCGGTCAAAGAGGCACTGAGACATCGAATATGCCAGCCCATTTCTCTAACTCTCCTGAGCGCTTGGGTCTCTTTGGCTCAGGGCTCTCATATTCTGCAACATAAACATAAAACGTTGACGCTCTTCACGCTGTTTGTAGTTGGGATGCTGAGGCTCTTAACAGCCGGGTACGTCTTCTCTGAAACGATTGTCGAGATCTTCTTATTCGAATGAGGCTTATAGGTGGACAACTCTCTTGACACCAGTCTATTTCATGTGGCCAGTACAGTTGAATGGATCCGAAATCGACATAACTGGAAGCGCGTTTGCCACCTTGCTCCGCGAAGAATTCCTGGCGAATGGTCTGACTTTCAGTATGTATCTCTACTTGAGTTACCGAGTGGTTTGTAAAATGGGATAATGAAGTCCAGAACGATGCTTTCAAAGTTCTCGATATCGGTGGGATGCTCAGTGGAATTACAGCTGCAGGATTTACCTTTGGTCTTCCCGGAACATTCAATTTTAATGGTGCAAAATACAACATATCCACTCGTACGTCCAGTCTCTCAGTTCATTCTAAACTATTTTACGATACTGTGCAACTAGAGGGGGTCGTGCCTACCATCGAGGCATTTTCCGGTTCGAATGGAATTCCGGATGCTAATGGTACTCGTCTCGGGTTTTCTGGTGGAAATATCACGGTCAACACAGGAATTGTACCCGGATCATACTCCAGGGCACCCATTCCCCAAGGTTTCAGCACGAACTATTCCATGTGGCAACAAGGGTTAACAGTGAATGTCAGCTGCCGGGCCATTGACTCAAGCCAAACGCAGTACCTTTGGAACACGAACAACTCTAACGTCATCTATATCAACCCAGCTGCTTCGAGCAACAACTCCATTACCGGTCTCCGTTTGTGGAATATCAGTGCAAACTGTGGTAACAGTAAGTTCGGATATTGGATATATTTTCTTGAGTTCACTGATGGCTTCTAGATACCTCGACAGCGTACGAATATGTGACCATGGTGGATGCAAATGGAAATGGAAACTTATCAGGGAATGGCTTTCTTCCATCTGTTGTGTGCCCAGGATCAACAGATGTGAACCAAACTTATACAAGCTTCAGTGAGCCCTTAAGATATGCACGTCTGGAGTCATTGACCGAATCTGTTTCTGTAGCCATTTTTACGCAAGGGTTTTACAAGTATGAGTCCCTTAAAGCAAGCGTGTGTGAAGTGGTTCCCCTGTTGACCAGAGTCCGCGCCGATTATTCCAACGAACAAATTTCTTCCGAAGTCATTTCATCCACTCCTTTCCATTCAGAGAATGTCGAGCTACTGTCATTTATCGCTGGAGTTGCCAAATATCAGTTGATCAACTCGCAGGGACTTACGAGCAGCACGATTGGGGATACCCTGTACTTCATATATTCCTCAGCCACTACCCAATACGTCAATGAAAATCTTAATGACACACAGGTTTACCTTGAGCTCGTCAGTTTCATGACATACCGTCTTGATCCACTTCTTATGATCTTTTAGGAGAATTACTGGCGTGGTGTTGTTGAATTTTCTGCCACGGTGAGATTGCTGGTCTGTCCGATATAGTCTGAATTGACCTAGCGTTATTTTGCAGTTTCTTCGCTCCAGGTTTATGGCTACAGGCAGCTTCCCCGATAATATCATCCCGAATAACCTCTCTTCGCCAGTCAACGGGACCATGTTCATATCGACAATAGGCTGGACTCGCTGGACTAAGAACTCGCCGACATATCTGCTCGCTACAATACCGCTCACCATTATCACCATCCTCACTTTCGCCTGCACATTCTACAGTATTCTGGAGTATCATCATGAACGTCAAGATAAACAACACTACAGGACTAACTTCGATGTGTCAAATTTTCTCCATCTCATTATAGCATGTGCTGGTGATAAACTCGTACTCTCGCACATCAAGACTGAGATCGAGAAAAATGGGGGCGATGTTCACCCGAGGGACCTCAAGTCCACTGACCTTAGAAAGCAGGAGGTGCATGTGAGAGATGTCAAACCGGTGCATGTGGAAAATGTTACATAAAAATAACCATGATGTATGATTTTTGGCCATATCACCTTATGCTAGTGTCTGTTCTTAGTTGTGTCTATATCCAACTTCAAGGGTCTTGTTTGACATTTGCAGGGCACGATGTCGAACTATAGAAATGTGATCATTTTGGATTTCATATTATAAGAATGCTCGATGAAAAGGAGTGTGCACGTTCAACGTTGTGAACTGCGGTGCGAAATCAGAAGCCTTGACCTAGTGGGTACTAGCTAGTAGTAGCTACTAGGTTACAACCGGAACCCTCACACAAATTGGGTCGGCCCATCGTGTGACATATACTTGCCGCATAGTTACCGAAATTCAAATAGCGTCCATTCATTCTCAGCGTGCAGGGGCGCTTGTTGATGTACCACATACATACGACATACCAGTTCTGACAACTGCAGTCAACGATGTGCTCACACAGTCAAAACCAGAAGCATTACCCCGAACTCAACTATGGATCTGGGGCGAAATGGATCAAGGGTTTAACTCAAAACCGGTTGTCCACTTTCCTTGGGGGTCACTTCGAAAACGTCAACCTGTCTTCTGTCCTCTACACTCATCGCATCGATGGCTCGCATAATGTAGATCTCCAAGTTTGGAGCGCACCAGGTCTTACAAAGCCCTCGTTTCAAGAGGCAACGAAACAAGAATTCAAACCAGCAAAGAAGGGTGATTCATTTGGGCCATCTTGTAAGTCACTTTCATATTCAGCATTCTTCCTGATGCCAAACTTCTCTTTGCAGGGGTATGACAATACTATGCAATCGTATCTGCTTCTCACATGCATATATTCGTTTGCAGACAAACCACTGGTGGAAGGTCACTCTCAAGATTCCCTCCTATTGGCAACAGTATGAGCGTGTACAATGTAAAGCAAGATTTCTGAACTACTAAATAAATGCTCAAGTATGTTTGCCTCAGTTGAGTTCGACCCTGGCTGCGAAGCTATGATATTCTCCACGGATGGTGTCCCGCTCCAAGGTATGTTTTACAACCTTTTTGGTAATCCAAAATGAATATTACTATCTAGGAATTACCGGCGGCTACGGCGGAGATCGCAGGGTTGAACATATCATTCCGCCTCAAGCTGTTCGTGACGGCCACTATGCTGTAGTCATCGAGTCCAGTTGCAACGGCATGTTTGGCGTACCATGGAATGGCGACACCATCGCGCCCCCAGATGTAAACTTGTTATCTTTCTAGCCCGACGCAGATGCTCATTCCCGTGTAGATGAACAGGTATTTCCAGCTTGCATCCGCAGATTTAGTTGTTACAAACCAAGATGCTTGTATGTTGTTGCACATTCCACCGTATTTTCAGCTGAAACTTGCTGCAGGGCATCTGATGTGGGACTTTACCACTCTTCGCGAGATTGTGGACACCGTAGCTGGCAACACTGCGCTTCAAAACAAGGCACTCGTCACAGCCAATAAAATCATGAATGCATTTAAATCTGGAGATCCCGAGAACGTAAAACATATGCGCGGAATTGCTGAGGATGTATTCGGCAAAGGTTGGCATGCAAAAGGCGACAAGATATACAACGAAGGCCCCAAAAAGGCTCAGATTGCCGGGATTTCATACTGCCATATCGTTGGTTATTATTTACGGTCCCAGGTCATGTCTAATATGTTGTGTTTTAACAGGATACAGCATGGTTGTGGCCTTATTCAGTCACTCAGCAGAAGACAGCGAGGTCATGGTCTACCCAGATTGATTTGATGGAACGTTATCCAGAACATAGATTTGCCTGTTCTCAAGCCCAACAATTCAAATGGCTTGAGGAGGTGCGCTTGACTGTCTCTTCTTAATTCACTTACTTATATATCTCTTCTTCATAGCAATACCCTCCGCTTTTTGAACGTATCAAGAAGAAAGTGGCATCTGGCCAATTCCATCTCATTGGTGGTTCGTGGGTTGAGAACGACGGAAATATGCCTTCAGGTGAAGCCCTCGTCCGGCAATTCCTGTACGGTCAAAACTACTTCGAATCACGTTTTGGAAAGCGGTGTGAGACTGCTTGGCTCCCGGACTCTTTTGGGCTCACTGCGGCCTATCCGCAGCTGATTAGGGATGCAGGCATGAAATACTTCTTCACACAGAAGTTGAGTTGGTATGTGAATATATGAGTTTTATTTGCAGTCATCTTATGGTTCGTGGCAGGAATAACATGTTGGTATAGTTTTGGGGTTGTTGTCTCAGTTTACTGATGGTAAAAAAAGAAACGCGTTCCCGCATTCCACCTTCAATTGGGTTGGCATCGATGGCTCACAAGTCCTTTGTCACATGACACCCGTCGGTAATATCATGTCCAGTTAGCAGTCCTACCAATACTAATTCGTTCACCCACGCAGATACTTACACCGCACAAGCAACAGTCGGGGACGTCAACAAGGGGATTACAAATCATAAGGTTTGGGCGACACAATGAGCCACGGGTGTTCTTCACTTACTGTCATTTAGAACCTTGAATCAGATGCTACTGCCCTTCTGGTCTTCGGAAACGGAGATGGAGGAGGAGGAGCATTGCCTAAGATGCTAGAGAACGTACGAGCATTAGTTTCAGTCCTTTGAGTCCAGCTTAACTGTACTTGACAGCTGCGTCGCATTCGCGCGACGACTAATGAACACAGAGAACTTCCAACTGTTAGTATGGGAAGTACTGTCGAGGAGTTCTTCGAGGACATTGAAGAAAATTCCAAGGAGGGAAAAACGCTGCCAGTTTGGTCTGTCAAGCCTGCCATTTTCATTATATTTTCTCTGACATGCTATGGTGTGAAGGAAAGGGGAATTGTACCTTGAGGTAAGTGTGTTCAGGAGCTCTGGTAGACTCCAGTTCTGAATTTCAGAAACAGTTCCATAGGGGAACCTATACCTCGCATGGTAAGCGGTTATCATTACCTGTCGCACTCACAATCAATACTGATATCATGCTTATTAGGTTCCATCAAGAAAGGTAATAGGAAGTGCGAGATACTGTTGAGGGATGTGGAGGTTGGTTTTGCCTGACCCACAGTTACCCTGATACTAAACGATCCCAGCGCGTAGCTACCCTGGCTTCGATCCTCAAGCCCGGGGGACATTCGTATGTATATCCCAAGCGGGCTATTGATGAGTGCTGGGAGAAAGTGTTACTCAATCAGTGTAAGTGCTCTGTATCTATACTCTACTAATCAGCATATGTACTCATCTTTTCCGCAGTCCATGACGGTAAGCTTTTAAGGTTTTGGCACTTACATGATATCTAAAACGTATATCTCAGTCTTACCTGGATCTGCAATGTGAGTCGCAGTTTTCTATGCCTAGCTGGGGTTTAAGTTGGCTCTGTAGCGGCATGGTCTATGATGACGCAGAGAAGTTATACGCCGAAGTTCACGAAGTATGCACTGGTCTTCTCGAGGATGCATTCGGTGTTCTCCTCCCACGATCGTCACCCCTCCTGTCGAACTCAACATCGGAAACACTAGTCGCGTTTAACACCACGTCATTTGCGCGCTACGATGTTATCAAGGTTCCTTTGTCCAAAGATGCTGCTCGCATGAAAGCGCAAGTCATTCAAACATCCGCAGATGGCAAGCACGGATATGCTCTAATGCACTCGGTGGGAAACAAGGTCGTGTCGCAACCCGTAGGGATGTCTTCGGTTTGTACGCCTGCATCTGGTGTGTCTGGTATTTTCAGGTCCTCAGTATTGGTACTGAACGTCCGTTATAGTGTTTACCAATGGAACAGACCACTTCGTCCTCAGGAACGCCAACGTCCAGCTCACCATCTCAGAGGGACGAATCACCAGCCTGATTGACGTGAAGCTTGGGTTGGTTGCGTCCTTCTTCTCCGTCATAACCCACTAACTCTACTCTTGAGTCGTGAGCTTATTCCCAAAGGAAGCTCTGGTGGATTAGTCATTTTCGAAGATCGTCCTAATTACTGGGACGCTTGGGGTCCGTTCATTCATTAAGTTGTTAATCGCGGACTGAATGTGACTTTACCTTGGGTGTTGCAGATGTCGAAATCCACCACCTCGAAACTTCTACTCCGCTTGCGTTTTCTCAAGTTCGGGTTATCGCTGAAGGGCCCGTTCGGGCCGCTGTTCAGACACAAGTTAAATATGGGAAAAGTACAATCGACGTCACGGTGCGTATCTAGTATTTGCCGCACCTTCATTCCTTCCATCACGCTGCCTTGCGAGTGTCTGGTGCTGATAGAATACATCACTTTTTACAGATCTCCCTCGATGCCATCACTGGTAAGAACGCTCCGCAGACCCAGAAACGAGTACTTATAGCGGAAGCGTAGCATCGATGAAAGGAGATTCCCGCTCCTATTTCAATTTCGATGCTGTGGTCGACTGGCGTGAGAGACACAAGTTCCTCAAGTGTGCGTACAATAACACCTCTTACTGCCCTGTTCTTATGCATGACTCCAGTTGAACTGCCACTCGACATCAATAACACGTATGCGACTTATGAGTCACAGTTTGGGTTTGTTCAGCGGCCGACACACAAGAACACGACGCTGGACGCTGCCAAGTTTGAGGTCTGTGGGCACAAGGTACATACTTTTTCATCAGTTGGTTCTCCTTCAGGACTTATCCACGAGCTACCAGTTCGCAGATCTTAGCGAATATGGATATGGTGTCGCTTTCCTCTCAGAATCCAAATATGGCTTTGCATGCGAAGGCAATGTTCTTCGTATCTCCCTGCTCAGAGCGGCCACGGCCCCTGACTCAGAGCAGGATCAAGGTTTGACTCTGGCGTCAAACTTGTCGCGGTTCATTCACATGTTCTCTTAGGCAGGCACGAGTTCTCGTGGGCAGTCATGCCTCATGTGGGCTCCTTCCTCGAATCCGACGTTCCGATAGCTGCCTTTATCTATAATTCTCCCTTGCACTGTTAGTTGGGCTTCTTTGTTGTGTCTTCACTGATAAGTCTAATGTTATCCCCAGTGAGAACTGTTCCTGGGCATCACGCGGGCCACGTCGTTCCACCTCTTCCGTTCTGGATTGAGGGCACACCAAACATCTTTTTGGAGACCATCAAGAGAGGAGAAGACGATTTCAAACCGAATACTTCCAGCACAACCGTCATCTTGCGCCTGTACGAAGCGTTTGGTGGGCATGGATCTATCAAGCTACACCTCGGAAAGCACGTACCTGTGAAGAGCGCGTATGTCACGAACATCCTGGAAGACACTAAAGGAGAACTGGGCCTGATGTCCACGACGGGATCGCATAGCACGCTCAAGCTCGAATTCAGAAGTTTCGAAGTGAAAACTGTAAAATTAGTGTTGGAAACCAAGTCTGACATCCGAGACATTTCGCCTAAGACGTGAGCTCTGTTCTATATCAACCGAGCTTGGTGTGGCTAACATGTAAAATACAGATCTTCGAAGAGAGATAGCTGGGTGACTGTCAACAAGGAATTGTAATTTGAATCTTGAAATTGGATGAGCTGACGCGGACTATCCCTTGTATGTACTACATTAGTGATGTAAAACTGTACAGTACTTGAAATAAAGTTTTGTAACCGTATCGATTATTGACTAAAGTAGTAGTTTGGCTCCCTTCTTACTACTTAGTATTATGGACACCGTATCTCCTGCCCGTAGGGTCGCTGACATGTCTAGGTCCGCATTATGACCAGCTGGCGGGAAGCCAAAACTATTTGTTATGCCACATGGGCGGCACCGATTGATTTCAAATACACACACAGCAATAGTAATGTCATACGGCTGTTCAGAACGTTCACGTTGTGACTACCCTACGTGTGAACGAAACGTTGGTCTCCATGCTGCCCCTGTATAGAAGCTTGACATCGGTTTAAAATTAATCGATTGTCATCCACGGCTGAGAACTGAAAGATGGCCACCCCCATTAGCACGATCCCAAAGGTGAGTACATTTTGTTCAGCGCTCGTTGCATGACCTCAGTCAGCGGTGAAGATTAGAGATGCCCTTCGAGCGACATTCCGCAGCGGATTGACCCGTCCCATTGCGTGGCGTCAGCACCAACTATACCAGCTTGCGCGCATGGCGCAGAATGAACGGGAGCTCATTTGTGATGCCCTGAAGAAGGACCTCGGAAAACCAAAAACAGAGGTCCTCATGGCCGAAGTAGGCTGCGTCATCGAAAGAGCTGTGAAGAGCGCAGAGCAGCTTCCAGTGTGGGCCAAGGCTGAATATCCTGAAGTGGCTGATTGGCAGAAGCCATGGAAGCCAACGTGAGTGATCGGATGATCAAATTTGGTGCATCGATGTGACTGATGACTGTACCGTGTATCAGGCTCTACAAGGCTCCGAGGGGAACTGCATTGATAATCTCGTGAGACGGAAGATACTGTCTCAATTCCACTTCCTGACATTGCGCTTAAACAGGCCATGGAACTACCCTATGATCCTCACTTTCCAACCTCTCATCGGCGCAATCGCAGCAGGCTGTACTGCCGTACTAAAGCCCTCTGAGCTTGTCCCCACTTTCTCACAGCTCTTGGATGAAATTGTGCCAAAGTACTTGGACCCAAATGTATACCGTGTCGTCAATGGCGCTGTGCCTGAAACTTCAAAGCTTCTGGAGCTTCAATGGGACCACATTTTTTATACGGGGAATGGCAGGGTTGCTAGGATCATCGCCAGTGCTGCGGCCAAGCACCTGACGCCACTGACATTGGAATTAGGTGGAAAGAGTCCCGTGATTATCGACTCGGCATACGATATCGATCTTGCCGCAAAGAGGATCTTGTGGGGCAAGTGTAATAATGCAGGACAGGCGAGTTTATATTGACCGATTTGGGGTTACTCCCGATGCGGTATACTGAACGGGAGTTCTGGCAGATCTGCGTGGCACCTGACTATGTCCTAGTACAGCGGGACAAGCAAGATGAGCTGATCAAGGCATTCCAAAAGCATTATGATTCATTCTTCCCCAACGGTGCGCTAGATTCGCCATTGTTTGGAAGTATCGGATCGGATTTGCACCATAAACGCATTACTTCGCTTCTTTCCCGCACGAAGGGCGAAGTCGTTCTCAAGGGTCGCTCTGACGCTGCGAGGAGGAGACTCGAGCCCACCATTGTGAAGAATGTTTCGGAAGGCGATTCCTTGCTAGAAGAGTCAGTATTTTCTTGTATTGGAAATGCGATTCTGACTGCATGGTATTTATAGAGAAATCTTTGGTCCGGTATTACCTATCGTACCCGTGGATTCTCTCAAACAAGCAGTCGACTTTGTTAATGCACGGTAGGCACTCGTCCTATGATTCAACTCGTTAGCTGACTTACCTCACGAAGATCTCATCCACTAGTTTTGTACGTTTTCAGTGACAACGAGAACGTAAAGCAACAGGGTATGTTTTGCTTGGCTGATGACGGTTGGTTGATGCTAAAAACTGCGATCAAATTTTCTTTGACAGTTGTCTCGGAAACGCAGAGCGGCGGTATTGTTTTCAACGACACCTTCCAACAGGTCGCAGGTACGTGATTGGCAGGTATTAACGTCATGCTCGGATTGACGCTCATTTATTTTTGCCGGTCAGTGCATGAACTACCATTTGCGGGAGTGGGCGAGTCAGGCTGTGAGATTTCTACTCCACCTGAGAATGTAGAGAATGCCACTGACACTTGAACCCCGTGGTAGACGGATACCAGGTTATGAAGCATACGTATGATACGTTCACGCAGCTTCGTAGCTCTATTGACATGCCGAGAGAGTGAGTTCTGCTTCTAGTTACTTTTTGAAGGCTGATCTGAATTTGGGCAGGGCTGAGCCATACCTGGCGATTCGGTATCCGCCTCATTCAGAAGAGGCAGTGCAAGCGCTCACTGCTGCGGTACATACCCCAATTCCATCAAGCCGCCTGTGAGAAGATATCAACGGCCATCATGCACTATCTGTGATTCAAATACCGTTGTATATGTAAGGTGTTAGGATCCGAACCATGGATTACCGTCCTAGGGTGTACATATTGTTATCATAATGCCCGCACAGGACATTTGCAATGTTGGTGATGGGCCATCAGCCTTTTAAGAAGAAACCTTCATTACTGTAGCTTGGTCTGCATCGATTCGGAAGGTTCTGTTGATACATTTGCGATGCCATGGCTCACCATCTCAGAGGGACGAATCAACAGCCTGATTGACGTGAAGCTTGGGTTGGTTGCGTCCTTCCCCGTCATAACCCACCAACTCTACTCTTGAGTCGTGAGCTTATTCCAAAGGAAGCTCTGGTGGACTAGTCATTTTCGAAGATTGTCCTAATTACTGGGACGCTTGGAGTCCGTTCTTTCATTAAGTTGTTGATCGCAGACTGGATGTGACTTTGCCTTGGGTGTTGCAGATGTTGAAATCCACCACCTCGAAACTTCCACTCCGCTTGCGTTTTCTCAAGTTCGGGTTGTCGCTAAAGGGGCCCTTCGGGCCGCTGTTCAGACACAAGTTAAATATGGGAAAAGTACAATCGACGTCACGGTGCGTATCTAGTATTTGCCACGCCTTCATTCCTTCCATCGTGCTGTCTTGCGAATATCTGGTGCTGACAGAATACATCACTTTTTACAGATCTCCCAGGTCCTGCTTCTTCGGAATCCTCGAACATCCTTACTTCTAGTGCGGTCAGACACTCGAGGTCGAGGTCAGCCACGAAGCTGTTGGTAGGATAGCTTATCATATGATCAGCCCAAGCCATCTTCAACAGCATGCTATCGTCCCATTCTTCGTTTCAAACTTTGATGCGTTTTTCGAAATCACTGGCCTTTCGACAAGCAACAACGAGAGTGAGCGCATGCACCAAAGGCATGCCACCAAGCCACTTTTCGACTTGACCGGAAACACCAGGCACATTCTCCGAGAACCAACGTGCAATTTTGGCATACTCATGAGATGAGATGTCATCACAAAACGGTATGCTGTATGCACCCACACCATCTGGCTTCTTCTTCGATCGCAAGATGTAGTCTATCACGGGGTATGCCGTGAGTTTGTTTGGGACGGTGGTGAATGCCCTTGTGAATGTAGTAGACGCCTCCTTTGAATGAATACAACACTGATGTGACGCCGTAGTCGATATGCTTGAGCTGACTACCACAAAGGCACGATGCATTGAGTTGTCCCATGATACCAGCCCTGCGGGTCCGTGGACGTGTGACTACCTCACAGGTAGGTTCATCACAAGTAATCACACCCAGGCAAACACGTCCCGTCTTTTTGCCTTGCGACCATGCGAGTGCCGACTCTGACCCCCTCTTGTCTCCTCCTCCTGGCTGACAAGCCCAATGTTCACTGAGATTATTAGTTCTTAATACCTCCTCCCATGTGAATAACCTTTCAAAGTCATCGTCCGACCATGGGTCCCATAAATCATCTGTTGAGATCCGGTCACCACCGTCAGATTTGGGACGTAGTGAGTTCGATGATTGATCCAGACCACAGCGTTGATTTGCTCGGGCTGCAGAAGGACTAACACTTCAGGTACGCCGGCGTGGTATACACTTTGTGTCTGTGGAGACATCAAATAACTCCTGTGAGTGGTGTTTCATCGGTCGAGGGAGGGGTGGCGCATTTGAGACGGAGTGTGCAGTGACATGTGAGGGCTGAGCGGTCTGCACGGAGGTCGGAAGATAAGCTATTACATTATCTGTTCTATTTATTAAATCTGAGTTCACAAGGAGAATATGTCGGATGACGCACCTGAACGGTCATAGCAGGGTATGAGGTCCCCAACATTCAGCAGAGGACCCGGCCGATCTGGATAATTTTAATTCTCTGTCTCGTTGGGATAGAAAAAGTCCTAAAGGATGGTTATGACAAGTGTACTCCGTATTTCAAAGCACTCACTGTGACTCACAAATGCCATGATACGATTTACAAAAACGCGATAAGGCTAGGCCATAGGAGACAAAACGAAAGAATGCTTGGTAAAGTAAATTTATTACTGCCTATGGACAACTACAGTGTACATACGTCTAATTCTGTCAGGATGAAAAGGAACACCGTTAGAATATCAATTATTATGACAGATCTAAAATAAAATATACCTAACAGTGTGGCAGTTGAGGTGACGAGGTTTGACGCGGCAGTGACGCGGTATGGACAAAGTTTGATGCGGCAGTGACGCGCATGTGACGCGGTATGTGCTATGGTTGACGCAGCACTGATGGTAGGCCTTGACGCGGCATAGAGTGTGAATGTTGATATTAGTACAGAGACTGTGAAGATGTTCGGGAGAACTTGTCGTGGTGTGAGTGGTGCTTGACCCAGCCTACTAGACGAGGCTTCTGACAATGCCATGGTTGGGGCTTAAATCGCTTGACGTGGTGGTGCAGAGTATAGAGAGTAGATTGAACTTGACAGGGTGAGGTTGAGGCTTGACGCAGTGAGGCAACACTTGACACTGCATCTGAAAACGAACGCATTAGAGGTAATAGAACAATACAGGACTGATGTGCAAAATGCATACTAGTAGTGTGAACACAGAGGACAAGCACTGTAAATTTGGTGAGAAGTGAATACAGCACTATGGAGCCTGTACGCAGGCAGACACTCAATGTTGATCATTACCGAGGATTCAAAGTGTTTGGAATGACATGAAGTTGTTTGAACATGTTACAGTGCCGCGTCACGACCGCGTTAATTTCACCTGGCCCCGCAGTGTGGCTCCCGTCTAAGTATCATTGACACCGTATCTCCTGCCCGTCGGGTCTAGGTCCAGATTATGACCAGCTTGCAAAACAAAACTATTTGTTATGCCACATGGGCGGCACCGATTGATTTCGAATACGCACACAACAATAGTAAGGCCATACGGCTGTTCACGTCCATCCTACGTGTGGACTGACGTTTGGTCTCCATGCTGCCCCTGTATAGCTTGACGTCAGTTTAAAATGAATCGATTGTCATCCACATCTGAGAACTGAAAGAATCCAGATGGCCACCCCCATCAGCACGATCCTAGAGGTGAGTACATTTTGTTCAGCGCTCGTTGCATGATCTCAGTCAGCGGTGAAGATCAGAGATGCCCTTCGAGCGACATTCCGCAGCGGATTGACCCGTCCCATCGCGTGGCGTCAGCACCAGTTATACCAGCTTGCGCGGCTGGCGCAGAATGAACGGGAGCTCATCTGTGATGCCCTGAAGAAGGACCTCGGAAAACCAAAAACAGAGGTCCTGATGGCCGAAGTAGGCTGCATCATCGAAACAGCTATGAGGACCGCAGAGCAGCTACCAGTGTGGGCTGAGACTGAATATCCTGAAGTACCTGATTGGCAGAAGCCATGGAAGCCGACGTGAGTGATTGGATGATCAAATTTGATGTATCGATGTGACTGATGACTATACCATGTACCAGGGTCTACAAGGCTCCGAAGGGGACTGCATTGATATTCTCGTGAGACGGAAGATACTGTCTCAATTCCACTTCCTGACCTCGCGCTTAAATAGGCCATGGAACTACCCTATGACCCTCACTTTCCAACCTCTCATCGGCGCAATCGCAGCAGGCTGCACTGCCGTACTCAAGCCCTCTGAGTTTGTCCCCGCCTTCTCACAGCTCTTGGATGAAATTATGCCAAAGTACTTCGACCCAAATGTGTACCGTGTCGTCAATGATGCTGTGCCTGAGATTTCAAAGCTTCTGGAGCTTCAATGGGACCACATTTTGTATACGGGGAATAGCAGGGTTGCTGGGATCGTCGCCAGTGCTGCGGCTAAGCACCTGACGCCACTGACATTGGATTTAGGTGGAAAGAGTCCCGTGATTATCGACTCGGCATACGATATCGATCTTGCCGCAAAGAGGATCTTGTGGGGCAAGTGTAATAATGCAGGACAGGCGAGTTTATCTTGACCGATTTAGGGCTACTCCCGATGCGGTATACTGAACGGGAATTCTGGCAGACCTGCGTGGCACCTGACTATGTCCTAGTACAGCGGGACAAACAAGATGCGCTGATCAAGGCATTCCAAAAGCATTATGATTCATTCTTCCCCAACGGTGCGCTAGATTCGCCATTTTTTGGAAGTATCGGATCGGATTTGCACCATAAACGCATTACTTCGCTTCTTTCCCGCACGAAGGGCGAAGTCGTTCTCAAGGGTCGCTCTGACGCTGCGAGGAGGAAACTCGAGCCCACTATTGTGAAGAATGTTGCGGAAGGCGATTCCTTGCTAGAAGAGTCAGTATTTCCTTGTATTGGAAATGCGGTTCTGACTGCATAGTATTTATAGAGAAATCTTTGGTCCGGTATTACCTATCGTACCCGTGGATTCTCTCAAACAAGCAGTCGACTTTGTTAATGCACGGTGAGCACTTGTCCTATGATTCAACTCGTTAGCTGACTTACCTCACGAAGATCTTCTCCAGTAGTTTTGTACGTTTTTAGTGACAACGAGAGCGTAAAGCAACAGGGTATGTTTCGCTTGGCTGATGACGGTCGGTTGATGCTAAAAACTGCGATCAAATTTTCTTTGACAGTTGTCTCGGAAACGCAGAGCGGCGGTATTGTTTTTAACGACACCTACCAACATCTCGTAGGTACGTGATTGGCAGGTATTGACGTCATGCTCGGATTGGCGCTCATTTACTTTTGCCGGTCAGTGCATGAACTACCATTTGGGGGAGTGGGCGAGTCAGGCTGTGAGATTTCCACTCCACCTGAGAATGCAGAGAATGCCACTGACACTTGAACCCCGTGGTAGACGGACACCAGGGTATGAAATATACGTATGATATATTCACGCAGCTTCGTGGCTCTATTGACATGCCGAGAGAGTGAGTTCTACTTCTAGTTACTTTTTGAAGGCTGATCTGAATTTGGGCAGGGCTGAGCCATACCTGGCGATTCGGTATCCGCCTCATTCGGAAGAGGCGGTGCGAGCGCTCACTGCTGCGGTACATATCCCCATTCCATCAAGCCGCCTGTGAGAAGATATCAACGGCCATCATGCACTATCTGTGATTCAAATATCGTTGTATATGTAAGGTGTTAGGATCCGAACCATGGATTACCGTCCTAGGTTGTACATGTTGTTATCATAATACCTGCACAGGATACTTGCAATGTTTCATCAGCCTTTGAAGAAGAAACCTTGATTCCTGTAGCATGGTTGGTCTGCATCGATTCGGAAGGTTCTGTTGATAAATTTGCGATGCCATGCGTCTTGTTCATGAAACTCAGTGAGTATCCCCGGCCACTTCTAGCCTTGCTGGGCGGCCGCAGGAGCCAAGGAGAGAAACTGTGAAAAACTCCGCGAACTGGCCTAAATTTCAAATTTGCATCAACAGCATGAGTGTATTGGCCCGGTCATCTATCACATCCCCACAACCACGTTACTCAGTCTCGCATCCCATCAGAAGTTCATATAAGATCCGGCCTGGGCCATGATTAATGGATTTTTCAGTTTCGTTGAGTTACGTTGTATTCTGATCGTGAGACTGGCCTATCAAATGATTCTTCAACGAACCTTCCATCGTCTGTTTTTGTGGAAGTTCCACGCAGTCGTTGGGGTCCTCCCAACCATGCATAATTGGCAAATCATACAGCAGTCACATGCCGGATAAAAATACAGCAGAAAGTGGGGTGGGCTTTCGCTCCGCCTCGGATGTGTTGGACAACTAACGGCATGTTTTTGTATAGCTTTGCTCTTTTGGGCTAAGCGCAACGCTATATAATCCCAAGGTTGTATAAGCCGATAGGAGTAAGGCTACCTTCCGCCCTCTTTCCGTACCACGCGCCTACGACTAAAATGTCGACCTCCTCACCTGTGAACGAAAAATCTGATGTGATAGAGCGTCCGGAACATGTTCATCACAGCACATCACATATGGATGCGGAGACAAGAGCCATCGCGTGCGTATGACATGTGTCCTGTGTCAAGTGCCTAGGCTGACCTTTTTCCGCCAGTAACGCCGATGCAAAATTATCAAACCCCTTGCGCGGTATACCTCATGATCGTCTGATGGCGGATGTCGAAATTTTTGCGCAGGAGAGAGGATTGACCCATCTGTTGCCTGAGCTGAAGAAAGGGGCGCTTATTGCACAGGATCCCACTTGTATGTCACCATGAGAGATGTTTTCCCCGGCTGACTCGAGTTCCTTGATGTACAGGCCATAATCGTTCAGACATGTTCTCAGAAGACGACAAACGAATTTTAACAGAGGAGGTTACACACAAGTGGCGACAGACACCCATGCTGTATTACGTCGGTGTCACCCTGTTTTTGATTATTTGTCATGGCTCATCATTATTTAAAATAGATGGTCGTGATGTCATCACTTGCAGCGGCTGTCCAGGGAATGGATGAGGCTGTTATCAATGGCGCTCAAATTATTTATCCCAAGCAGTTTGGTATCAACAATGGCACCCGTACGTACTTTAAAGCTCTTACATCATTCTAATAATCATCATCTATGCCTAGAACGCGATTCATGGATAATCGGTCTCGTCAACTCTGCACCCTACTTGTATGTGCTTTGTTCGTATTGCGGGATATTGTTTCTCATCACTCCACAGATGCTGTGCCACCATTTCTTGTTGGCTGACGCATCCGCTCAACCATTATCTTGGGCGTAAAAAGACCATTTTCGTCACTTGCATGATCTCGTTCCTGACATGTATTTGGTCTGGATTGACAAATACCTGGTGGCACCTATTCATTGCACGGTTCTTCCTCGGTTTTGGTATCGGTCCCAAATCTGCCACCGTCCCAGTATATACCGCCGAATGTTCACCCGCACCGATACGTGGCGCTCTCGTCATGATGTGGCAGATGTGGACCGCTTTCGGCATTGCTCTAGGAGACCTCATCGACTTGGCATTCTTTTTCATTCCGGACACTCCCGGTGTGACTGGTCTGAACTGGCGTCTCATGCTAGCCTCTGCTGGTATCCCCGGTCTTATTG